TCAGGATCGCGCTGTTTCCTGACGCGGGCGCTCCAGACCCGCCGCCATTTTCCCCCCAAAGCAAGTTAATTTAAACTAAAGGACTTAATTGAAGGACTCTTAGTTTAATAAAATGGCCACATTTTTCTTCCTATTAATTTTCTACATTTGAGTATGTCTACCTTAGATGTGATGCTATTTCAGTGTCTTTAAAAATATTCATTTCTCATTTATTTTATATAATATTGCCTCTGTAATTCCCTGACATTTGACAAGAAGTCTTATAAGAGGTGATTTTCTACGGATATGAAAAAAGCTCTGCCTTGCAGCTAACTAAAAATTAATATCACTGAAGAAACTGAAAATATGTATGTTTGTGTTCTTTTTTTTAGGTAGATTATGTATTTACAGATAAGACTGGCACACTTACTGAAAACAGCATGGAATTCATTGAATGCTGCATAGATGGGCACAAGTATAAAGGTGTAACTCAGGAGGTTGGATTATCTCAGACTGATGGGCCTTTAACATATTGTGACAAAGCAGATAAGGTAGCATTTTCTGTATTACCATTTTACCTGAGAAATCTATCTATGTATGCCTGTGTTAACCCTCTATAATAGAAATAAAGAATTTTCCAGTACGTGCGTAATATAGACTTTTGAATAACCATTTGTTCTTTTGGCTTCAGCTTTCTCATTTTATTACGCCTTTGTAATTTGTAATCAAGTAGAATTTACCAGTAGAGAGAAGTGTGGGAAATGGCATTTGGGTAAAACTTCCTTGCTTGCCTGTGTGGTCATAATTTTTTTATGTTTCATTTTTAAAAACATAAGCTCCTGTAATAGTGATGTCTGTTCAAATTATTAAAGCCCAGAAGTGTTTAGACATTAAATGAACCAGAGTCTCTGTACACGTGGACTATTGCTGGACTGTGAATTAGATACTGAATGAACTTTCTTAGGCCGTGTGGAAGTCACTATTTTGGTTTACATGGCACTACAATAACCTGAATGAGTTAATGCGTCCTCTAGGGTATGCTAGCTGATATGTACCTCATTTGAATATTAGGAATTTATAAATTTCTGTTACTAGAGGTTATAATATTCTCTCACATTAATACCTTGTCTCTGTTCGATACCTAGTTACTATATGATCATAGTAAAAATAAGTCATTTTTCTGTTCTACAGAATCGAGAAGAGCTCTTTCTGCGTGCCTTGTGTTTATGTCATACTGTAGAAATTAAAACAAATGATGCTGTTGATGGAGCTACAGAATCAGCTGAATTAACCTATATCTCCTCTTCACCAGATGAAATTGCTTTGGTGAAAGGAGCTAAAAAGTGAGCACTTCTTGTACTTCTTCTGAGAAAGTGAAATCACAGGAGGACAGGAGTTATTTTGGTTCTTCTCTCTTTGCTTCAATAACCTTATTGAGTACATCTGTTATTTAAGTAAAAGCCAGACCACTTTATTGAAAGTTTGTGAAAAATTCTCAAACCAAACTAATTAAGACCAAAAAGAAAATGGCAATGCATAGATGTAACTTGCCTTACTATTTGTGCATGCCAGCCAGAAGTCTAGATGTTCATATTATGTTTTGCTAATCACATAACAGTGACCACTTTTTGTATAACTCATGTTATTTCTGAAGTGCTCCCAGCAATTTTGATGTCATTTGATAACTGACAGTCCAGTTTTACACATGAAGTCCAAGATGATTAAGAGGCTAACAGGTCACCCAGTGTGTTAGCTGCATAACTGGAATTATAAATTACCTCTTCCTTAGTTATCATAATTGTGACTAGACATTGACTTGTTCTGTGATATCAACTCATCCAGGAGAGGGAAGTGTAGTTATAAGATGAGATCATATGAAAGAAAAGAAAAGAATAAATAAGCATGAGTAGTCCCAGTGCAAGGGAAAATTAATCATTCTTTAGAGATACACAAAGGTCTTTTATTGTTTTTGATAGGTACGGGTTCACATTTTTAGGAAATCGGAATGGACAGATGAGACTAGAGAACCAAAGAAAAGAAATAGAAGAGTAAGTAGATCTGTGTTTGATGTTTGTCTCTTCCTAACCCCACAGTCAACTTTAATGGACTCAGGAAGGGCAGCAAAGGAAATGAACACACCTATAAAAACAGGACTCTGCTCTCCCAGTTCAGAGTTTTATATAAATGTACTTGGAGTAGGAGAAGCTATTTTTCATAGAATGGCAGAAACTGGGATTTGTGGTGGAAATTCCAGTTTGGTTCATATATGGGTTCAGTAGCCAGAATGAGAGTCTGCATGGACTGATTCTGAAATTTAGATGCCATTTCATGTCTCAAACACATGTTGGAAGAAAAATCATAAGCGTACATGAAACCTTCTGTCCAAAACCCAAGCAGTCACTCTGTAATTGACGGCCCAGCCAATAATGTATTAATCAGAAACTTTGTCTTATTCTAGATGTTCAGGTGTGAGCCTCAGAGCAAGTACTCTGATGTAGCAGTGTCTCCACAATCTTTCTTATGCTGCAAAGACTCCCACGAACAAAGCCAATGGCGGATTTTAATTAGGCTCTGTGATTAATTTAAATTTCTTCATCTGAACTTGAAATGCAGTTATCATGTCTGACTTCCATTCTGGCCCCTAGGATCTCATGAGACCAATCTCAGAAACCTATAATACATGTAGAGGTGCTTGAGTAATGTGCCCCCTTGAGGAGGTATGCTCAGAAGCTCAGAGGAAGGCTTTTTGGTTGGACTGCCAGGAACCCAGAGTCATTGTAAGAGTCCAGTCTCTAGCCAGTCCACAACAGTGCCTCCATTTGACCAACACCAAACAAGAAGTTACATGTAGATGTCTTAAACACTACCACTGCCCCCCTGCCCCCAAACACCAGTGACCCACTCACTCTCACCAAAAACAAGCTATTTAGTAAATATTTTTATGTTAAATACATGTAATCCAAGTTGTTTATTTTCAAGAAAATATTCCATCACTTTTTCTATTAATGCTTATTTTAACTCTTCTGTATCCTTTCATCCAATCAACAGTTCAGCAATCCACACACAGATCTGATCAATCTTATTATGTTATTCCACTGTTTAAACCCTTCATTGGCTTCCTGTTGCCAATCCCAAGTTTCTGAAGTGGCCCACAAAGTTCTCAGTTTCCAGCCCCCTGCTTACCTTCCTTGCTTTATCTCTAGCTTTTCTCCTGTTAATGAAGTTTTCAGGCATTGGTGAACTACTTAAGTGCCCCATGGGCCATATGCTCTCGTACTGCTGGGCCTTTGCATGTATGTGCTCTTCCCTCTACTCAGAATATCTGGCCTTCTTTCTTCATCATATCGCTCTTGCAGAACCCAGCTCAGGCACGGCCTCCCCTATCTCCCCTGTGAGTGCCTATATTACAGTATTTGACAGACTGGGAGGGTAGTTATCTCATTACCCTTTGTCTCCCTTATCATATGGTGAGTTCCTTGAGGGAAAGGATTCGGGCAAATTCATCTCTATTTCCCAGCATCTAGCATTGTTTCTGGCACATAGTAGGCACTGCATAGATGGAAATAAAGTAATTGGTAGAGTGGAACTATTTCTAGACTCTTCCAGCTATGGCTTGGTGGGGCAGCTCTTTGTCCTCCATTCCTATGTAGTCATTCTACTGTTTTAAGTAATGAAAGGATATAAATACCCCTTAACCAACACTGGTGTCCTCTGCCAGCATGTTCTACATGCAGAGAAATTACAAAGACAAGAGAAAGTTCCAGTTATGCACACAACCAGCAGCCCTTACCCAAAGAGGAGAGCTATCTGTTCATTTAAGATGTTTAAATATCTTAAGATGTTTCTGTTGTGTTTTGTTTTTCTCAGTTTGGTCAAGGTATTTTACCTTTTTCATTTCTCTTCTCTTAAAGGTATGAACTTCTTCACACCTTAAACTTTGATGCCATCCGCCGACGTATGAGTGTAATTGTGAAGACTCAAGGAGGTACACGTCTTAAAAACTTGACTTTTTCTCTTTTTCCATTAGTAGGTTTTGATGTTGATCAACTATTTCAGGAAAGAGAAACATTTCATGTAGTAGTGAAGGATTAGTTAAAGTAATGCAAAGCGGTAGCTTTTGTGTATGCCTTTATGTATTTATTTAAACAAATATGCTCAGTTTGCCTAACTGTCAGTGACAGAATCCCTGGTATGACATTACATGCATTTTCTTGGAAACCGAACTGTATTCCTTTGCCCCAGGTGTCAAAACAGGAGCTGAAAGAGTGACTTTTATATGGTTCAGGGTACTGACCAGTCTCCAGTAATGTTTACATGTAGCAGTCTGATATAATTGGATGATCTAGGGATTAGTAGCATCAGAAGCCTTGAGTATAGAAAGTTGCTGGTTATCTCTCCCCAGCCTTCCTAGTTCCCTTACTGCATGGAAACAAGTGAGGTAGAGATGACTAAGGGCCAAGCTTCTGGGAACGGGCACTGAGATTTCCCTATAGAGATCAGGGCTCTGTGTTTGACAGAGTAAATCTTGCCCTTTGCAGAGGAATCAGCATCATCATCCCAGGCTCCCCCAGGTCTTTGGGAGGCACTATGGTGGTTTGCCTTCTGCTTAGATTGTGCAAGACCTGTGGGAGAGCACTCCTGCTTCGTTTGCAGGCTCTCAGATGCATATGTGTGTGCATGCCCAGGTGGTCTGTTTTCAAAATATCCTTGATTTATTTCCCAGTAACTTACTTTTTAGTATTAAATCTGTTCCAAATTCTTTAATGTGAGAATGGGAGGATACAGACAAAAACCCTTTGGGGAACATATTCCACTTTATTCACACTTTATGATATGACTGCAAAGTGATGAAATTGATTTTAGTATGTGACCATGGAATTTGTTTTCTGGCTTTTAAACACACTTTGAATGTGTGAGAGAAGATGAAAAGAAAAAGGGCTTAACATTCGAAATACTTGCTGTTCTTATATGTACACATCCACATATGCATTCTAGTACAAATGGTGAGATGTCTGGGGAAGCGGTCTGCAAAGGTAATTGACCTCAGAGGTACACTTTTTTAATTTGTCAAACTCAGCTCTTTGCCTTATAAGGATGAAGTGTATCACTCAACTGTATATATTTCCTGGGTGCATGAACTGATCTAAAGCTGCCCTTGTAACAGCATTCTACAAAGCTATTTTCAAGTTTCCAGCAAAAACTATCAAGCTAGGGTTTTAAAAGCCAACTTGTAATAGTTTATTTTAAATGATTTCACCTTGTTCAAGCTTGAGTTTGGTTCTTGACATCTGCAGATGCCGTTTGTGTACTCTAGGTCATGGCTGACCACATTTTCAAAGAGAATTCAGATGCAGCTCCTTGACACAAGCCCAATTCTCCAAGATTTACTGGGAGGAAGTATATTTTAATGAAAGTGCGTGTTGTAAACTCTGGCTTATTAGTTGTGTCCACAGTGGTCTAGAGAGTTGGTGACTGTTCTCTAGACAGACTAAAGATCAAGGTGTCTGGTTCCATTTGGGTGAGCGTTTCATGGCAGGCTGAGAATACACAGCAGTTGGGTGGAAGAGGCTACCTTAATAATTATCTGTTATTATTAAAATCCCAATACCAGTCTTAAAATTCTAAGTTGAGCATTTCGGTTCTTTATTTTAGGGAACATACTTCTCTTTTGTAAAGGAGCAGACTCAGCAGTTTTTCCGAGAGTGCAAAATCATGAAGTTGAGTTAACTAAAGCCCATGTGGAACGTAATGCAATGGTGAGCCTACACTCCTTCTCCCAATAAGTAAATGGAGAAATGCTGGTGATGATCATGTCTATGGGATTTCCTTTTAAGTGGATGTTTAAATGAATTTTAGCTTATTTTTATGGTCTATTTTTTTATATTTGGAGATTTAAAAATATTATTTTTCTTATTTTAATATAAAACATTATCCTGGAGCAAGTTTCTGGTCAGAATTTGAAAGCTTGAAGACTTTTCAAGAATCTTTGTTAAAAGAGCAAGTATTTTATTATTCTGAACCTAATTGAAGGTTACCTTTTTAGCGCAATCTGTTTATTTTTTGTAAAACTAAAAATGTGTCAGCATTTCTTTGTTTTACATATGGGTAAAGAAAGAGTATTTAAAAAGAGTATGGTTTTTGTTTTTGTTTTTTTTTTTCCCCAGTTTTTATTAGGATAACTACTGATTTCCTACTTTGCTTCTAGGATGGGTATCGGACACTTTGTGTAGCCTTCAAAGAAATTGTTCCAGATGATTATGAAAGAATTAACAGACAGCTCATAGAGGCAAAAATGGCCCTACAAGACAGAGAAGAAAAAATGGAAAAGGTTTTTGATGATATTGAAACAAACATGAATTTAATTGGAGCCACTGCAGTGGAAGACAAGTAACTCGAAAATGATACTCTTGTTATTTTAATGATCAGTCATTTAAGATGGGACCTATCCAGATTAGTAATTTATTTTCAAGTTTTGAAGTCTTTGGTTTAGCTTTTGTTGTCAAAATGGGCTTAAAGATTAATTTACTGTAACAAGTATGAAAAATTACATCAGATTTTGAGCTATTTGTGGGAATGATTTTTAAGTTAAATACATGTAACTTAGAAGAATGAATAAATCATCACTAAGGTCTTTTGAATATTTACTAAGCCATCCATTTATTTGTGCAGATATTTATGAAATAGTCTTGCCATGTGTAGGAAGGGATGCTAGAGTCATTATTTAAGCTGGTGCCTGGAAGAATGGGTAAGATTTTGCAGACAGAGATGAGCAGAGAGGAACTTCAAGGTAGAGCAAACCACATGAGAACTTAATCTAAACTGGTTTGAAAGACCAAGTATGTTTTTACATACTTTAAAACACTATGCTTTTATTCAATTCGGTTTATTCAATTTTATTCAGAATTTAATTATTTTTATTTATTATTTCAATTCAATTTTATTCAATTTATGTAATTCAGGCTGAGCTGCCAGACCTGATTGCAGGACTCCAGCATTGATCTGCGGGAAAGAATAAGTTTTAGATTCTTAATATTATAGTTCTCTAAAAACGATAATTGCAAATTATGAGACTTAACCAAACAAAAAGTTACAAACATATGTTCAATCACATTGGAAGGTACTGAAAGTCTAATGAAATTCATTTAGTCTACTTTCATTGTTATTCTATGGCCAAAAGGAACCCGAAGAAAGTATAATTCTTCTATTCTTGCCTTTTACAATTATACTTAAATTCTCATTCAGGATGGTTGGCTTTCCTATTTTTAAAGCTCCTTGGGGATGCAGATTCACTAACTCCCCTCAGTGTCTGATTAGAATGTATTTGGCTCTTTCTATTTTTGTGAAATCTGCTAAAATGACAGTGAATACAAACGTTTGTTGAGTTTCTGAACATTTTAGCTTAGAGTAACAATTTTCAGTTCTGCCGTTGAATACCAGTTATCTCAAGAGATATCATGAACTTTTCAGAACCTCATTATTTGAAATTCACTTTAATAAGTAAAACTATGCCAGAGACAGCACTCTCAGAAAGAGTAGGGGATATATAAGAAAACCAACTTTGATAAGGTGTCAGGACTCTAGAATTGTTGTGAATTGTAAAAATATCCTCTTTAACCAGCCATCTTGGAGAATCTCTGTCAGGAATTTTAGAGGATATCAAGGTTTCTTTTGTGTTCCTAGGCTACAAGATCAAGCTGCAGAGACCATTGAAGCTCTGCATGCAGCAGGCCTGAAAGTCTGGGTGCTAACTGGGGACAAGATGGAGACAGCCAAATCCACGTGCTATGCCTGCCGCCTTTTCCAAACCAGCACCGAGCTCTTGGAATTAACCACAAAAACTATTGAAGAAAGTGAAAGGAAAGAAGATCGATTACATGAATTGTTGATAGAATATCGTAAGAAGTTGCTGCGTGAATTTCCTAAAAGCACTAGAAGCCTTAAAAAGTAAGAAAGTCCATAATAAGTTTCTTACATTTAGACATTGGTATATATGTAAATCATAGCTGCTTATGCAAAAACCTCCATTTTCTGTAATTTATCATTTTCTGTTTGCATATGTTTTATCCTTATAAGTTAAAACCTTCTCTGAGGACTTGGCCAATGGCCCATTTGAGATTACTTGGCACATTCCACCTCTCTTTTAACTTAAAAGAAAACTCTGCATTTCTCATGGTTTAGAAAAATAACTCAATTTCTAAATGTTTAGAGTCTGAGTATTTAATATCAATATTCTGGCCTCATCCATGTTAAGAAAAAACATTTCGTTTCACGGTCTCTTAAATTGAATGTAATATAACCAATTTCCATTCATTTTGAGGTCCTGGAGCCATTTACTGTGTTGTTTCTTGTGCCCCAGAGCTTCAAAGGGACCCAAATACTTGTTAACATGACCACTTTGACTGCTCTCATCTAGCTGTTTAGGAAGAACTTGTAGAACCGAAGGGTCTCAAGGGAAGCCACTGATCCAAAACAATTTGTTGCCCAGAGATATCTTTTGTACTTCCCATCGACCAAGGCTTAGCCTTGTCTAAACCAATTACTTGGATTTGCCTTGGTGATAAGCAAATCGATTTCCTTTCTGGAATGCCACCAGATATGCCCACACTAACTCCAGAGAACCCTAAGCAATATTATTTTCCATTTTTTGAGTGTACTTTATGTTCCAGGAACAATGTTAAGTGCTTCGTATGATTATTCTCATTTAATCTTCATTAACAACCCAGTTAGGCAATGTTATTTTTCTTATTTAACAAATAGGGAAACTGGGGCTCACTGAGATGAAATGACTTGTTCAAGATCACACAGGGTTGGCCAATTCTAAAACAGCTGTTGTTCTTCTGGTACTTGGGCATCAAGAGAGAATTATTAATTGCTTATGAGAAATGTTTCCTTTCTTTAGACAAATGGCATTTATAAAGACAGTCCAAATTGCATGCATTTTAGTTGTCCATTTGTCTTAATCTGCTTGGGCTGCCATATCAAAATACCAAAGACTGGATGGCTTAAACAACAGAGATTTATATCTTACAGTTGTTCAAGCTTAAAGTCTGTGATCAGAGCGCTAGCATGGTTAGGTTCTGGTGAGGACCCTCTCACTGGCTTTCAGATACCACCTTCTCCTTGTGTCTTCACATGGCAAAGAGAGCTCGGGTGTCTATCTTATAAGGGCAGTAATCCTATAATTCCACCCTCATAACCTCATCTAAACCCAATTATCTCTCAAAGACTCCATCTCCTAATGTCATCATATTGGGGGTTAAGTCTTCAACATATGAATTTAGGGGGGGCACAATTCATTCTATAACAGGCACTAATCCCATCATGAAAGCCCCACCCTCATGACTTTATCTAAATCTAATCATATCCTAAAGTCCCATCTTCAGATACCATCACACTGGGGGTTGGGCTTCAACATAAGAATTCTGGGGGGACACAATTCAGTTCATAGTGCCATTCAACACCTCTGGAACACTTGTAAAAGCCGGGGTTTATGGAAAACTTAACACATCACCACTATCTGAGATCATCCCCTCTTCCTGGTTATCTGTTTGGAGCTGGGCACAGTCTTTCCCCCAATTAGACAGGCTTCAAACCCAGAATCACCTTTACCCCTTCCCCTTCAAATCAGCCTGCAAGCCTTGTCCATGCTCCCATTCTTACCACTGGTGCTCCACATCAGAGGCCTAGCACCTCACACGTCAAATCCCTAGCCCCTCTACCAGATGAGTGGTTTTTTTTTTTTTTAACAGCTTGTGGATACAGGGATCCAGACCCTTGACTGTGGTGTTATCAGCACTGAACTCTTCCAAGTGAGCTAACCGGTCAGCCTTCAGATGAGTGGTCTTTACGTAAAGCACTGTTTATATTACAACTCTGCTCTGAAACTTTTAATGGTTCTCCAATTACCAACAGATTCAGGTCACGCCAAAGGCCTCAAGTGACCTTTTCAACTTGCTTTCCTAGAGCACCACAACACACAACATACATTCTCTCCCTTAACCTCTTTCTGCCCTGTCTTTCGAGTCCCACTTTAGATATCACACCTCACAAAGAATCCACTTTTCTTTCCTGTGTGGATTTATTGTCCCAATAATTGAGCATTAATCATTTATTGTTCTTGTTTGGTTGGGTATGAGTTCTCTTACCCCAAGGAGATTTTCTATTCTCCAAGGAAAAATTAGTCAATAAATCTTCTATATGTCCTGCTTATCGTTGATGTTTACAAATACTGTTTGAGTATTGAGTGGCTGTTTTCTGTCCAGTAAGTCAGCTGTATGAGTAGGGAAGCAAAGAAGAACACGTGATTGATGTCGCTTTTATTAGTAAATAAAATGTGCTCATAAAATTATGAAAAAATATAGATAAGTACAAAATATGTTGTTAGCAGTATACACTGAAGAAATATGGAATAAAGGAATGATAAGGTATATTAGACCTACTTGGCATCTGTTACATTTTTCTTTCCTGGCACCTAGTACCTCTTAGCCTTGGCTATACATGAGAACCACCTAAGTTATATGTACCTATACATGAGGGTACTTCAAAAAGTTCATGGAAAGATTCATATTATCTTTTAATTCTATTATTCCATGAACCTTTTTGAAGTACCCTCATATAACCAAGACCAGCTCAAGGTGCTCTGATTTCATTGGCCTGGGGATAGACCCTGGGTATGGGCAGTTTTTTTTAAAGCTGCCGAGATGATTCTAGGGAAGGCTAGGGTTCAGAACCACTGAGCTAGTGTAAAATGGAATATACTACTTAAGGAATATGTATCAGTATTGTATATATCAATATATGTCAGCATCAGGCTGCTCAACCGCCTTTATTTTTATACCATTTGGGGCAACTTGAGTTTCAAAGATAAGACTGAAAGTCACTGTTGTACCATTATTCAGGTAGTTGCTTCTTTAGAATGAACGGGTCAAAGAACCAGATGGATGACTTGTCTTATCTGGGACCCTCCCCTTTGTGGTTAAAAAAACCCAAAAACCCAGGATCCTAAATAGAAATGTACAATAGATTGAAACACAGCATTGTTTTTCTTTTTCAGAGCATGGACAGAACATCAGGAATTTGGATTAATCGTTGATGGCTCCACATTGTCACTCATACTAAATTCTAGTCAAGATTCTAGTTCAAACAATTACAAAAGCATTTTCCTACAAATTTGTATGAAGTGCACTGCAGTGCTCTGCTGCCGGATGGCACCATTACAGAAAGCCCAGGTAACTGTGTGGGTATTAATATTCCAATTTGGGTACTTCTGTACACATATATGCAAATGTTTGGTTTACTTTTAATTTGTTTCTTCTTCAAAGAGCCATTATTACCTTCTAATTTTTTCCCCCTGGCTTCTTCCTCTTTGTGATCAAACTCGGGAGTCTTCCTCCATTTATAGTTAAACCTTTGCTGCACCTTGGTGTCCCCTCAAGCTGGCTGTCCAGTTCCTCACTTTCCAGACTTCTCTAATGAGTGCTTGGTATCTGCTGCCTCCATTCCATTGTCCCCCGGCTCCCCTATGACATTAGCCTCATGCCTTCTTTCTATTCTTCTTATTCTGTTGGCTTGCCTGTGGGCAAGCCTGGCCCAGTCCCTTGTGCTGTCTTCCATTCGCTTCCTCATTTCTCCACGGCAGCTGACACTATCAATTACATCTTCCTTAAAACTCTCCTTCCTTGTTTTCTGTGATGGTCCACGGTCCTGACATTTTCCCACCCTCTTTAGCAACCCAGTGTCTTTTTTCTTTATTTTATCCTCTATCTTCTCCCTAATTATCAGTTTTCTCTAGGGCAAAATCTTCCCTCTGCCTTTTATTTTATGACTCTCTCTCTGGATAAGCACATCCATTTCTCTTATGGCCATTGATGTGTCTGTAACCCTGACTTTTCCTTGATGTAAGTCTCTTATTTCTAGCTCTTTGCTAAACAGCTCCATGTGGATTCCCCACTGCTGTCACATTAAATTTTAGTGTGCAAGGCAGATCTTATAATTTTCTTCTTCAGAGCAGTTTGTTTTTTCCCTTGTCTTATATTATTCCTGTTACTGGTGCCATTTTTCTTTTGCTTCCTAAGTCTCTAAACTACCTTAGATCCTTCTCCTCTTCCTCCATATGTGGTCACCATGTCCTGTTAATCCTACCTTTTGTCATAGCTCTTATTTTGGTGCTGTCTTTTAAAACCTTTTACCACCAGCTTAGTGCAAACCCTTATGACTTTACACAGACTATTTGATTTAGTCTCCTCATTGATCTTGCTTTCCTCCTTCCCCCTTCAGTCTCTTTCCAAACCATCATATAGTCTTTCTTAGATGCTTTCAGTGACTTCATAGTCCCTTACAATGAAGGACAGATGACTGAATGTGGCACCTGGGGCTCCCCGTGGTTGTCCCTTAACGTGTCTCTATGTACTTTGTGTCCACTATCATTTCCTTATCCAGCATAAATCCTCCACTCCTCTTGGTTGTTCCCGTTCACATCTTTTCTGTGTGCCATGATCAGGAAAACTTCCAAAACATTCTTATATCCTTTCCTCATCTGGAACGCTCTGAATTCCCCTGGCCTCACAAAAACTTTACTCATGATAAAACCCAGCTCAAGAGCTACCTTCTGTATGCTATCTTTTCCAGCTCCGTCAGCCCAAATTGATCTGCTTCACCTTGCTTCTTTGTACTCACTGGGTACAAGGAAACATAGACTCTCAGTTATATACTTTTTCATTTCCATGTAAACTGTAGGATATCCTTTCGTATGTGTTAGTCTTGCTTCTTCAGATGTTTTAGCTCCTTGCCCTAGACAAGGGGATGGCTGTGTCTGTAGCTTTTCTTTTATACTTTCCCAACCCCCTCCCCTTAACACACACTCCCACCAACCCGCCATCCTAGTTGGGGATTGCCTATGTCTACCTTTTATTTAGCTCATAGTCCGCAGTGCAATCAGAGGCTCTTCTTTCTTTTCTTCAACCTTCAGAACCTCACTTAGCCCCAGCTGGGGCATCAGATCCAACCAGAACAGTATCCAAAGGAATTTGTCCCCTTAGTCGGAGGCTTGCCTCTGAAAGCGATCTCTCTCCCTCTCTCTCTTTTTTTTTAATTTAATTTTCTTACATATAGTGACTACTGTTCAAATTGCTCACCTGGGTTCTGATTACTTCACTGCCCAGGAAAGTATGTGAATTCCTACCCCATGCTGCTTCTCCCAACCGGAATATGGCGCCCTTGTGGTTCAGTCCTTAGTCTGTTTTACTTCTCTCCTTGTAGTCACTTCTTCCAGGATATCACCTCCTCATCTGTATGTCCATATGAGTGATGTTCAGTCACTATCTCTAGTCCATATCTTTGGGGTTCTACTTTATTTCTTCCACTGCTTACCAAACACATCTTCTTGGGTGTTTCATTATCACCCCACCTCTCTAGAGCTGCCTTCTCTAGAGCCCAGCCATCATTTTCCTTTGTGTCTTCTATTTCTATGACTGAGCTCACTGTACTTCCAGGTTTCTAGATTCAAAACCTTGAAATCTGTGTTGACTTCCCTCATGCTTTATTGTTCCATGTAGCCTCAGTCACTAAATTCTGTTCATTTTTGAGTACATTGTCTTTTCCATCTATTCCTTTCTCTTTATTACCTTCCAGGGCCAAGCCTTTCAGTAGCTTATTGAACTCCACCTTTAAATAGCCACATAACTTCTTTCTTTGCCTGCAGTCTTGCTTTTATTCAGTTCCTCTTGCATCCTGCTGCCACTTTCATAGTACCACTTCCTGCTGATCTGGTTCCACATATATCTGTCTATGCCCTCCCTATGTGAAAATTCATTGATCTGATCAAGCCAGATCTATTTTCTGAGCACGTACTGTACTTACTTGGCTGTGTATCATTGAATGTGCCATTCCCTTTCTCTGGAATACTCCCCTCTTCTCTGTCCATGTAAATCTTACTAATATTTCATGATTTAGATCAAATTACTCTTTTTTCTGTAAAATCATTCCTGAATACTCTGGCATATAGTGTTCTCTCCCTTCTCTGACATCATAGGCCTTTTCAGATGGACAACAATGTCATATGTTCTCACACAGTTACTATGTTTTGTTATCTTGTGTTGTTAATCTGGTTATCTAATATTATTGTATTCATGACCTATTGTCTACTACTTCATTATGGTATATGCTTCTTACAGTGTGTGACCAAGCTTTTATCTTTTTTAGATCTTAACACATTGCTTTGCACAGTGTATTATGTGCAGTTATAGTTGATGAATAGTTTTGGTAAAAATTTTTTTTTTTCATGAAAGCTATCCTAGAGATTGAAGAGAAGCTCTTAACCCAGGTGACTTGGGACTCAGTGAAAAAACTACGTGTTTATCTATTTTAAATCCTTCATAATTTTACAGTCCATGACTATATATTTTATCTTTCCCCGAGGATGAGTTTCAGTCTTTTTACTTTATATTTTCATGCAGAAGCTGTCACCCATGGTAATTTTATTACCTTCCCTAGACCTTCCCTGGCTGCAGTTTTTTTTCCTTGAGGTGCAAATCATTACTGCACACAGTATAACAGGTGCAGTTAGTTAACCAGTATTGTAGCCCACCAAAAGCAAATTTAGTTTGGGTTCTGTAATTTTGCTTTTGACTCTTTCATTTACAGGTTATTTCTGACAGTCTTTTATAAAATTGTTAAGAAGAACCAAAGTTGAAGGGTGGGACTGGGGGAAAGCTGGCATTTCACAGTCACATCATTTTTGTGTTAAATGGAATTGGATTTGGGTTTTTTTGTTTGCGTGTACTATTTAATACAACTAAAACCTGACTGAATTTTGTTTAAAGAGAAAACTGTGAGGTGCCTTAGCCTCGTGTGGATTATTTTAATCACTTCAGTTATGTTGAGAATGGATTCCATTTATGTTAACTGGTCAGAGCAATCCTGAGAACAGAATTTTTGCATTATTGAGCTACTGAATTCTTAAGCTTTTTTTTTTTTTTTTAATCTGGCTGGTACAGGGATCTTGAACCCTGGACCTTGGTGTTATCAGCATCACGCTCTAACCAGCTGAGCTAACCAGCCAGCCCTATTTAAGCTTTGCTAAAGTTGCTAAATTCCAAGGAGTTTTGAGAGTTGATACATCAGGCAGTGATTATTTAAAACATAGGGTGGGAGGTCAGCTGCTTACCCAATACCTTTCGCACAATTAACTGCCAGGAGAACGTTTTGGAGAACACCAAAGCAGAAGTGTTTCGACACCGGAAATGAACATTTTATTCAGTATCTGTCATGAACACAGCTCTGAGCTACACAGTATCATTTACATATCTTAAAGAAACACTCAGGGAATAGTGACAGGCTTTGTATACATATCTTGGGCATCTTTCTGCAAATCACACCCCCCTTACGATGCCCTTTTTAAAATGCAGCTACCTATAGGAGAGGTCAAATCATATTGGGCAGTGGGAGATTTAGTAAAGTTTAGTTGGCAGCTAGATGGGTACAAGAATTTAACATCAGATAAGTTCCTGGGAATAAGGGCTGGGGTACTCCTAGAGTAGGTAGGAGTATCAGCAAAGAGGAGAGAGAGGTAACCAAAAACATTGTTTTCTGACATTTGTTCTGGTGGCCTTGTACAGGTTACCCCAAATTGGCTTTCCACAAAGGACATATGAAACAATGACGGAAGAGGGAAACATGTTGACCTCTAATATGTGTGGGAGGCAAGGTTTTTGATAGTTCATATATGCACAGAACCAGAAACAAGTGGGTGCTGGTGTTATATTTTGAATGGCTATGTTCTGCCTCTAAGAATTCAAGACTATTGTACATATATGCACAAAGTACCTTTCTGTTTGCAAGGCCACCATTTATAAGTGTAAATGACGCAAAAGGCCCTTATGTAGTTAAATCTCACTTTCTGCTTTGACCTTTTTATACCTCTTTTGTATTTAATATTTAGATTGTCAGAATGGTGAAGAATTTAAAAGGAAGCCCAATAACACTGTCGATAGGTGATGGTGCCAATGATGTTAGTATGATCCTGGAATCCCATGTGGGAATAGGTAAGAAACATCTAATGAGATGGCAGCTATAAGATATCCATGTTGCTTTTAGGTAGAGTGGTCTTATATTATAGATTGTTTTGGTTGCTTATCTTGAATTTGAATTTGGGAATGATAATTTTTAATCTAATGAAGGTCCTCAAGTGATCGTGGAAAATGTCTATCCCAAGGCCCTATTCCTGGTGGGAATGTAGCAATACAGAGTTAGCGGATATTTTTATATTAGCCAAGTAAAGTGAATCTGGCAGCACAATTGATTGTGTAGCTCTCCCTTAGACAGCATGCATGAAATTTTATTGATTTTCCTCCCCTGGCCAAACTGCCTGCTATGTTGCTGTAGTTTGTCTTTTCAGATTCTTAACTGTTTGGAGCTAAGAAGTGATCATTAGTTAGCCGGTTTTTCACATGGCAGTATTTATGGGTAGCTTGGGGTATAGTAATGAATTTATATGTTGACATGCAACAACAGCTTTTCTACTACCTGTGCCATTTTTTCACCTGTCAGGCTGCTGTTAGGCAACAAACCTAACACCCCAGCAAGGTTTTTTTTGGTAGGGAGTTAGGAACAGATATAGAATTAGTATCTCGGGAATTGTACAATAGTTTAGATTCCTGAATTATTCTTTCCATTCGGAAGTAGCCCTATTTCATGTGGAACTCTTAAGTTCAACTCATTGGTTATCCAATGTGAAAATGGCCTAAAGCTGCATGAGCTCATGGAATCCTTGGGCTGCTAGTCAGTGTTTCCTTCAGTAAAAGGACTTCATCATCTTTTCATTGAGCTCCTAGACCACAAACCCCAGGTCTCTGAGTTGCCTTAATATAGCACCTAGTTTAGTGTCATACACAATTAAGTATTTCTTGAGTGCCTTAAAACTAATTTTCAGGTCAAATTTTTTTATCCAGATAATTTTGCCTTGTAATGATTGAAATTCTGATTTTATTTAATTGTTTTATATTGTTAGAAATAGGTAGTTACCAATTAAACTTAGTTTTACTTTTATTTGGTAAGTCTCAATGTCACTGTTAAAGAAAGTCCTTTTTGGTTAAAAAAAAAAAAAAAAGCAAAGCTAAACTACAATTGAACTATGTTTAAGCAATTTGAAAACATAGAAATAAATCAAGGGGTTGCTTATTCTATAAAATACTCACCCTTTAGAGATATTCTCTTTTTAGGTATTAAAGGCAAAGAAGGTCGCCAAGCAGCTAGGAATAGCGATTATTCTGTTCCAAAGTTTAAACATTTAAAGAAACTGTTGTTGGCTCACGGACATCTATATTACGTGAGAATAGCACACCTTGTACAGTATTTCTTCTATAAGGTATGTGATAAGATATTTGTAATTTAAATTGTTTAATCCAGCATTGGCTCAGCTTGGTCATGGTTTTTTCCTTTTTTCCATGATTCTTTTGCTGTCTTTTTACTGAAATTTTCAGTCAACAAAGCAGAGGTGGTCTGTTTAATGAATCAGAAGCCAGAAATTCCTCTTGGTGCCAGAAATTTGAGATGAGTCTAAGTCAACTTTATTGAAGTATAAATTAAATGCAATAACCGATATCCATTAAAAATGTACAGTTTCATGAATTATGACAAATGTATACATCCATGTAATCACCACTCCAATCAAAAAAAAAAAAAAAAAACATTTCCATCACCACAGAAAATTCTCACGTGTTCTTTCCCAGTCATTGTCCTCTACTCCTCCCCCAGACAACAACTAATCTGATTTCTATTACTGTACCATACATAGTGATATATATGATGTAGAATATATAGATATAAGTGTAATATATGTAATATACACATTAGTTTTGCCTGTTCCAGAACTTCATATAGATAGAATCATATATACTGTTTTGTGTATGGCCTATTTCACTTAGTATAATGTTTTTGATCTTCATACATGTATGAATAGTTGGTTCCCTTTCTATGCTGAACAGTGTTTCAAACTACTTTTTTTAGTAGCAGAATCCTCTGTTCAAATGAAATTGCACAGATAAAAGCAGGATTGCATTAACTGAAAGAAAGGTGATGGGATCTGTCCTGCCCCAGAAGTTCCTCAGAGCACAATTTGGAATCCATGAATGTAGTTTAGGCCACTAATTTTATGCATGTTGAACTAGCATACATGAAGGTGAAATAATTGGTCTAAAGTTTATAGATAATTTTAAGCTGATATGGGCCAGAACTTGGATCTTCTCTCCTGTGTTTTTGTTTGATAGTGTTTTAAAAATTTTTTTGGCTTTTCATTTTGAAATAATTTCAGACTTTAAAGAAGTTGCAAAATCAGTGCAATAATTTTTGTATACTCTTTGCTCAGCTTTGTCAACTGTTAATACCTTAGATAATCCACAACATAATTATCAGGATCAGCACATTGATAGTCTTCATGGTCATAACAATTTTTAAGAGTACTGATTAGTTAGTTTTAGAATGTCTCTCTACTTCGGCTTATCTAATGTTTGTTTATTATTAGATTCCAGTTATGCATTTTTTGGCACAAACACCACAGAAGTATTATTGTAACCTTTTTAGTGCATCATATCAGGAGGCATATATTGTGGGTCTCAGTGATAATGTTAACTTTGATAACTTGATTCAAATGGTGTTTTGGGGGTCTCAAGACCCCTCATTTTTGCTTTGTATAATTTCATTTGAAAAGAGAATTCTGCTACTAAAACAGATATTTTATTCTGTGAGTTAAAATTCATTGCTATCACTATCTATTTTGATACTCAAATTGTCTTATTTTGGCCATTGGGAGCCCCTGTGACCCTCTAACATATCCCCATCATTTTTCAAAGACTTCTTTATTTTCTGTACCACATGGTGTTCTAGGCTCATCTTGTATATTTCCCGCGTCAGCCCTGGATTCAGACATTTCTCCAGGAAACACTGGTTTATTTTGTTTGCAAATAGTATTTAGAAATCAAAATCTGGATGCAAGTTGTGCTCATTGCTGCTGAGCTGAAGTTGGTTCTAAGCCTTCTCAGTGGACAGAGCTAGGAAATATATATGGATATACACCAAAAATCTATTTATATCTGTGTATAAATATGTGTGTAACACATACATATGTTGGACCAGAATCAAAGGTATCACTATGAATTCAGTATGTGAACTCTGTTTGTACTGATACCTTTGATTCCAGTCCAACACCGAAGAGTTTATTCTAGCTTTAACCTTTTCCTTTTTGGGCGGGGGGGGTGGGGGGGTGTGGGTTGGCTGGTACAGCGATCCAAACCCTTGACTTTGGTGTTATAACACCATGTTCTAACCAAGTGAGCTTACCAGCCAGCTCTTCTTTATTTGTAACTCCTTTTGTCCAGTGGTGAGAAACCTGGTTCTCATTATGCAGAGTATGTGTACTTATTTGCTCAATCCTAGAAGATATTTAAAGTAGTTTCAGAGTTGCTAACTCATACTCCTGTGAGAAACAAACTAACTTAAGTATGGTATTTGTGTTCAGTTCTTTTCTTTTAATTGACAAAAATTGTATATATTTATGGTATACAACATTATGTTTTGATATATGTATACATTGTGGAATGGCTAAATCAAACTAATGTGTGTATTACCTCACATATTTGGCCATTTTTTGTGTGGTAAGAGCACTTAAAATCTACTCTCAACAGTTTTCAAGCATATAATATATTGGGGGTTTTTTTGTGGTTTTTTTTTTTTTCCTTTCCTTTTTGTCTTTTTTTTTACTGACCGGTAACGGGATCGCAACCCTCGGTGTCGCGCCCGCACCGGGGACCGGCAACGGGATCGCAACCCTCGGTGTTGCGCCCGCACCGCGCTCAGCCAGTGAGCGGGAACCAGTCTCCACATGGGATCCGAATCCTCGGTGGGAGTGCCACCACACTCCCAAGCGGCGCACTCTCCAGTGCGCCACTGGGCCGGCCCTAATATATTGTTTTTAACTATAGTCACCGAGATGTACAATAGACCTCTTGAACTTATTCCTCCTATCTAATTAAAATTTTGTACACTTTGACCAATATCTCCCCAATCCACCCTCTCTGGTAACCACCGTTCTACTCTCTGTTTCTATGAGTGTGACTCTTGTGACTCTTTCAGATTCTATATGCAAGTGAGGTCATGTGACATTTGTCTTTCTGTGCCTGGCTCGTTTTATTTAACATAATGTCTTCCAGGTTCATCCATGTTGTCACAATGTTGTATGCAGTTCTTTTTTTTTATCTTTAGCTTTAGAGTTTATAGTCAAAATACTGTCTTCTCAAGTTGTTTTTTTTTTCTTTTCCACCACTCCAGTGTGGTTGGATTATTTATTGTAATATAGTTATGTTTTTATTTGCATTTTATTTGGGTCCTCCCCCTCTAATTCTGATTTGTTTTTCGAGTGTGTGAAACATTGGCATGGTTCTAAAAGACCTGTACCAAAATGAAGTTTTCTGAGGATGCTACTTAGTGAGCTAATGCTCTAAGCAAGATGGGAATTATGCAAAGGTGACTTTTCTCAAATCCCTCTTTTAAATTTATACATAGTTTCTTTTCTAAAATGAAATTCTTGCAGTCATCTGTCATTTTCTGTAAACATACCAACCTAGAAAACCAGTGGCAACATTGTTATGTGATTATGATTATTTTCTGTCTGTACATATTAATGTATGTATATGTTATTTTTATACACTACAGTACAGGGTTTTTTTAATTTTTGTGAGATAATTCACATAAAATTTACCATTTGAAAGTGTACAATTCAGTGAATTTGAGCATATTCACTGTGATGGCCAACCATCACCACTATCTAATTCCAAAACATTTCCATCACTCCAAAAAGAAACTCAGTACCTATTGGTACAATACATATTGTTTTATACTTTGCCTTTTTCACTTAATAATATATGGTGAGCATTTTTCTCACCCAGTTTAATATTCTTCTAAAATACAGTAATTGTGTAATATTTCAAGCCCCTATTATTGAATACCAAGATTATTTCTTCAGTACCTTGGTTTTTTTATACCACCAAGCACTAGAGTACATGTTAGACTGAGTTTGGATACCCATTTTTGTCTACCAGGGAATACAGTTTACCAAATTTCTTATTTAGATTCTAGTTTATAGGTATAGTATCAAGTATGCGTGCCAGTTTTAAATGATTTAAACAGTTATGATATTTGAATTTCATACCCTATATTTCACAGGAGGGAAAGCTCAGCGACTTCTTTTGTAGGTCAGTTGTCTGTGATCAAACCAGTTCTTATTAACTTTATATTTTGTAAAAAAAAAAAAAAAAGTACACACATACACACAACTGAGAACCCACAGTTCACAGATTTGCAAAGATCCTGCCAGCCAGTATCAACTGGAACTGGTAGCCAGTCTAAGCACTGATGATGAGTAGGAGGGAGATTATGGTGATCATGATGATTAACCCAGTATATAGGAGGTACTTTGCTGGTTGACAGAAGCACTTTATTTTTTTTATTTAATCCTCATAATCCTTCTAGGAGGCAAGTAGTATTATCTCCATTTAAAATAATGTAAAAAGTAGAGCTCAGAGATTGATGTAATTTGCCTTTGGCTCCCCAGCTAGGAGGTGACAGAGCTACACTGAATGATTATTCTCTCTTAACCTTTCTCTAGTAGGAGATTCCATGAAGATTTGCCATACAGATCTGCCTAGCAATCTGACTCTATTTCAGAGGCTTGGTTTGCCTCTCTAGGAATTTGGCCTGCAATTCAAGCAACTGCCACCAGATGGAAAGGATGCTTTGTTAAGGAGAACAAAACAAGCATTAAAATGGCAAATGTTGACCAGTGGTCAGAAATTGACATGTCTTCTCTTTTCAACATAGAAGATTATTTATGAAGATGATGCCCTCTATCTTCATTAGTATCTCTATCAAAATTATCATTTTTGTTGCTGACTTAGCAGTATTCCTTTTTTATTGCTATCTTTTGTCCCAAGAGGATTTCTAATATTTTCAGTCCTCTTTGGCTGAGCTAAGAAGTCTTTCCTTCCTCTTTTCGTGTCATTGCATCTTCAAAGTGTTATTGCTGCACTCCTGAATTACTTCATTGACAGGTCTTCCTGCCTTCTGTTTCTGCATTCAATCCTCCTTGCATAATTCATCCAGGTTAATGTTTAGAAAACACCACTTTTCAACTTGTTCTTTAGAAACTTTTCTCTCCATTGTCTAAGGATTAGTCTGGCTTTTAAGTCACCCTACAGTCTGACCCGGTCTTGCCATATACATTTTAAAATACATACTTCTTTACCTTGGTTCCTGCTTTTAACATATCCTATTTATCTTTAAGATCTAGTTCAAGTTCTAACTTCTTTGTTCAATCTAGTCAATAAATATGTTTTGAATGTGTTACCCCATGTGCCAAGCACTGTTTTAGGCACTGAGTATTCACCATGGCACAAGACAGGTAATGTCCCTATTTTCATGGAACTTACATTCTAGTGGGGGAGGTGGACTCCCCCCTTCTTATTAGTACCCTCATTATCCTCACTTAGTTCTGCCTACTCCAACCTCAGAACACTTATTTTTTCAAAATCTGCTGGTGATATTTTGCATCGTACCAGAACTGATATTTACAAATGAGTGTTGCTCTTCCAGGTGATGACCTTGGGAGCTCTGACATTCATTCTCATGCTGCCGGGGTAATTCAAAACATGTAGAGCACGTTTCTTTAGGAATGTCCTCCAGAGCCTGTAGTATAGTCATCTAAATATACTCAGCCAAGGCAGATGTTCATCCGTGGAGGATGCATTTGATTTTTAAAAGCAGTCTCAAGATTCCCAGAGTTGAGTCTGGTGAATTAGCTAAGTGAGAATGTGTGACAGAAGGAAGGAGACTGGTTTTCTGACATGGCTAAAAAATGGGCTTTTGAAGATGCTTCCCAAAGAGAATTCCAGAGACATCACGAACAGTGGCAGCAGCTCTTGAATAAACTCACAGCCTACCTCGAAGGACAGTACTCATTTGAAAATACTAGTTCTGGTAGTTTGCCTTGAAGCCATTAATTTCAGTGTTTTATAGTCACCTTTACTGCCTTATGAATTCCCAGCTTGTATTTTGTTATCTGCTTGTTTTTAGTATTCCCACAATTAAACAATAAGACCCTTAAAAGAAAGAAAAGTTGGTTTTTTTGGTATCACTCACAGTGCCATCTTTGCATATAGCTTGTGCTCAATAATGATATGTTGATTGTTGATGAGGCAGTAATAAAGGCATTAATCTATAATAATTTCCTTATGTTTATTGTCAACATAATCTATAATAATTTCCTTTTTGTTTTTTGTTTTGGCGGCTGGCCAGTAAGGGGATCCAAACACTGTGCTCTAACCAACTGAGCTAACCAGCCAGCCTAATAATTTCCTATATATTGACATTAATTGACTTTAAAATATACACTTGCAGCATTATGTCAGTATACTTTATGATGATTTTGCAGACCTAATTGGTATTTAAGGTATAGTATCATTAGGTGTTCATATTGGATGAGCTCATTTTTTCCCTGCAAGAGGAATAGCAAGAGGTTCTCATAAAGTAAGTGAGGTCCTCTTCTGCCTTGGTAGGGCAAAAGTCTTAATATGAATTAATCCTTTGTTTTTGAGTTGTTTTCTTAATCTCTGGAGTAGAAATTTATTGCATTCTGACATTAGAAGGATTTAGGATTTACTGTAGACTATTCGGAGTATAGTTTTCCTATTTTAGTTTAGAAAGTTTATCAAGTGAAAATATTAACCCTTGTTTTAATTTTTTTTTCCAGAACTTTTGTTTCATTTTGCCACAGTTTTTGTTCCAGTTCTTCTGTGGATTCTCACAACAGGTTTGTTTCCCAAGTTATTCATTATAATGTAGTTTACATTTGCTGTTAATAAATTGCTTTTTATGTATTGATTATGGGAATTACAGAGGTTTGTCCAAAGTAAAAGGATTTCTTTTTTGGTTCAACAGTTGATCTTCTTGGACTGGTTTTTGACAATAACAAATGTTTGTCTTTGCTTTACTAATTTTTTTCTTACTTTCTTTTTGAAAGGCTTTTGGTACATCCTGTTGTAATTGGATAACATTGAAATGAGTATTTTGGTTTTTCTTTCTTTATATCAGTGTATGAAATGTGTTCCAATAATCCTAAAATATTCTAGTTTAATATTTATTTCATCAAATAAAATCTCATACCATTGCAGTTTCTCAGGTTGGTTTTATAGAAACACATTGATCATTAAGCTAACCCAGAAGCTGTGATTCCTAGGTAAAGCCTTGGATTACGTAAAGCAACTCTAAATGTTTTGCCTTCTATTGTTTTCTGAACATTTACATAAAGAATATGCTATATATTAACTTCATACATAAGTGGTGGGATGGGCAGGCATGTTTGTTTAAAAACTGAAATGGATTTTACGTTGCTTCTAGTGGAAATATAGCTAAATATAGGAGCCCAGTGACTCAGAATTTTGGTAGTTAATCTATGAGCAGTTCAGTGATTTTGCCAAGCTGAGCTACCACATTGCCACTGAGTTTCTAAATTTCAAAGGCAAGCTTTATTATTCTTGGTTCCTCATGGTAGGAAGTGATTTTTTTCTAATTCCTTGGCAGTGTTATCAGGAGAATGCATTCTTCTCAATGGGAAATGACTGCTCTCTTTCTCTTGAACTTGCCTCTTTGCCATTTGGTATTCTGTCTATCAGTGCCATGTCATTAGCCCGGTAGTGCCAGTTAAGCAGATCACGTTATAAATTAATCATCTTCCAGTTGTAGGAAGTACCATCAGCCTTCTTGTATTAAAACTGATAGTATAAGTTATGGAGATTTTGTAAATTCTGATCAATCTGCTTTTCTTGAACACTCAAATTACTGTTGATCAAAGTGTTGCTAATTCCTCACTTCCTTGAATGAATGCAAATATTAAAAAATATTTCTTTTTTTTTTTTTTTACTTAACTAGTTTTGTAGTAAAGTGCCGAAGGGAAATTGGCTTGATCTGTTGAAACATTGTTTTTATTTTGAAAGGAATCTGTTGCTTTGTTATCCTTTTAAAACATTTTACCAAGCACAAGTTGTATGAAGCAAGAAAGGGCTTATTTCTTATAAAGCCAGCTGAGATTCAGACCCTGGACTGTCCTTGCTCTGCTTAGGTTTCCTTAGGAGCTGGTGTTTGGTTTCCTCAGTTGCTCAACTGGTAGGTTCATTCATTTGACAAGTGTTTTTTGAGTGCCTACCTTGTGTCAGGTTAAGTGCTGAGGATATAGCAGTGATCAAAACAAACTGTTACCCTCTTGGAACTTGCGGTATAGTAGATAGGGGAAGAGACAGACAACCATCAAATATATTATGTTGGATACTGATGTGCTCTTATGGAAAATAAACAGATAAAAAGCATAATAAAGGGGTAGAATGTCACTGGGGGCTGCTGTTTTTAGAGGTGATCTAAAAAGGTTTCTCTGATTAGGCCACATTTGGGCAGAGACCTAAAGGAGTTGAGGGAAGGAAGGAGCTTTGTAGACATCTTAGAGGAAAAGTATAGCTTGGAAAAAGGTCTCTCTGAGGAGGTGACATGGTGTGTGAAATCTTTAGTTTGACTTTGGCCTTGTGCTAGTGCTGAACATAGCAACCTTTATTGCAAATATCTGTAGTGTACATATGGCTAGTCAGCCTTTTTCAGTCCGGAACCACGTTAGGTAGGTTCTTTGGAGTTTGGAAAGTAGGCTGTAAAGAATGTAGAAATACAACCCAGGATTCAGATTCTTTAAGCATAAAGCAACTCTTTCTTTAGCAAAGCTAGGGTAGTACTTGTCTTTTTTTTTCTCCATGAAAAGAAAACATTTGTAACAGGTTTAACAATATGTAATGTTATCAACTAAACCTGTTGTTTGTTTAAGGGATATTCTGTCCTCTCTGTTTATGCATCTAAGAATTACAGTCACCTCTCATGTAATCTTAAAGTACCATAGTGAAACAAAGGTAGATTGATGCTTCTTTTGTTTGAATACAATTCAAGACTAAATTACACACCAGTCAATGTGAGGTTCTTTTTTCTTTTTTTAAAATTTACTTGTTAATGAAAATGGGTAGTTTCCAAAGAAAACGTAGTGTTGTGTCCCATGGACTTGAGAATTAAAAGGAATGCAACACCTTTTTTTCTTTTCATACTTTTTAATTCAGTGGAATATTTTTGCTGAGTTTAAATCTTTGTTTATGGAAAGTATGTGGGAAGTACCTCCATGTTCTACATAGAACCATCCTTTTAGCTTCATTGAGAATGTTGCACACATTATCTCTTTCTTCATCTCTACTGCAGGCCAGACTTGTGCCTCCCTCCTCTGGGTTCCCCCACTTCCTTGTGCATCCCCCTTCCCAACTAGAATTTGAGCTCCTTGGTGGACAGGGGATGAATCATCTCAGTCCCCAGTACTTGGCACTTAGTGGGTACTTAATAAATGTTCTGAAGTCAACTAAGGAATGAACTAATGCTCCATTCAAGTTCCCAACCTTTTTGTGTTGATCTCCATTATGATATTAGTTGTCTTTAGGAGCTGTTGATCGAAAATACATAATTGTGTTAATTTGTGTCACACTTAAATATATTTTATTAATCAAGGAACATTTATATTTGTGGAAAATACATATGAGTATGAGGCATTACTATTCAGGCCACAAAAAATGGGTGTATGACAATATTTAGCAGTGTGTAGATAAATAGTAAACCCAATAAGTACTTTCATCAGAATGAGCTTCATAGAATACCTTAAATATTTTCAATAAAGGAAGATTTATAGTTATCAGATGTTTTTAATAAATGTTTTGTAGCTTCCAATCTGTACTCATTCATTCATTCAGTATTTACTGAGTTTTTTTATGCCAAGTTCTGCTCTAGGAGCTCAAGATTGTCAAAGACCACCAGGAACACACTTGTAGTTGATCAAATAGGTTTATTTACTTAGTGCTGGGAGGGAGAACACGCACCATGGGGAACTCTGGGGCTCTCAGGAAGAGGGAGTTAGAAAAGACTTACTATGGGATTTGGACTTGGACAATATTAACCGAGAAAACTGTGACATAGGCTGCTACTGCCTATATTTAGTTTCTCTAAGGATTCCTGACTTATACTTATTTGGTCTTTGTTGAAATAGCTACTGAATAGCTGAATTTTTAGCTACTGAAAAATCTTTTGAAAAGTTATTAGTTAATGTCTATTAGAAATACAACTTATAGCATGTAAACATTCTGAATAAGATCCTATCAAAGGAAAGGAATATTAATGTGACACATCACAAAATGTCAGTTTTTTTAATAGTTATCAGGTAGAGTGACCTTATTTACAATGTTTCTTTTGCTATCACAAAGAGTATGAAGGGAAACTGTCTTATTTTAGCTAGTGATTTTTCCAAATACATAATATCATCTTGTAGATGATTATTACAGTACAGTTCTTTATTCCCTCTGTTGTTTGTCATTTCAGCCATTGTATGATGCCGCTTACCTTACAATGTACAATATCTGCTTCACATCCCTGCCAATCCTGGCCTACAGTCTACTGGAACAGCACATCAACATTGACACTCTGACCTCAGATCCCCGATTGTATATGTAAGTTGAACATATAGTTAAAACCCCATTAGACTTTCAAAGTTGTGGGTTTTATTTCATCTGCATGTGGGAAGGACACAGAACTGCCTACCTGTTTGATTACCTGTTTCTGTTTGGAACTTTAGCTACTAAAGCCAGACCATTCACCAGAAAAGGCTATGTTTTCTAGATGTGGGTCCTGTACTTGAATGTGTGTGACGTGTTTAGTTCAGAATCACTAATTCCTAAAACTTGAACCTACGTTATTATAGTCTTCCAGCATCTTACAGGAAGATAATATTTTAACTACAAAAAGAAAAACAAACACAAAGATCTTTGGTAGTTTCGAATATTGATTCCTGCCTGTACTGATTGAACTGATGAGATTGTTACCCTTTCTCTTATAAACTGCACCTGAGGCATTAGCCACCCCTCTTTGTTAGCCCTATTCTAAAACTATTTTTGTTGAAGAAAATAATTAACCTGTTAAGCCACTGTATTCATTTTGTGTCACTTGGAAATGGATCCCTTTCTTTATGGATGGGGGACTTGGCACTAGCTCCAGTTGTTTAACTTATGATTTAATTGTGTTTTTAGAAGTTAAGCCTACAGCTAAGATAAAGATATTAATTTACAGCAGATTATAAACATTGCTAAACAGTGGATAGCAAGTGCAGTAGAGAAGCTCAGGTGATCTATTTGTATGAAACAAAGATTCAAAAATTTAAGAGATTCCTTTAACCAGCATGACTCATAAAATTTACATTTAGTAATTATTAGAATTTTACAGATTTATAAAGTATATAATCATTTTAAAGTATTTATTAAGGGAAATTTCAAACATATGCAAAAGTAGAAAGAATATTATTTATATAATGAACTTCTGTGTCTTCACTTATCTTCAGCAAATATCAATTTATTGACAATCTTGTTCCATTAATAAACCTGTCTGCTCTATCATCAACTTACTTTGAAGTAAATCTCAAACATATAAAACAGTTATTTCAGTTTGTGTCTCTTAAGGATAAGGACTTAAAAAAATAACTGTACTCTATCACTTAACAAGTCCTTAATATCAGACATCCACTCACATTTCAACTGATTTTTTTTTCTTATGGCTGTTTGTTTGCATCAGGATCCAAATAAGGTCCATACATTGCAATTGGTTAATGTGCTTCTTGAGTCTCTTTAAATCTGTAGGTTAACTTTGCAATCTGTTTGTTGACAAAACCAGATCATTTATGTTGTAAAGTTGTAAAGTTTTCCCTAGTCTAGTTTGCTAATTGCATCCTCATGACATTGTTTAGAATGTTTCACTGATTCCTGTATTTGTTATAAGGGGATAATTAGCTCTAGAGGGAAATTATAGAAACCTTGGTAGAAATCTCATAGAGCATCAGCTCCTATACCCTCTTTCTGAAAATGAGGAACCAGGGCCCAGAAATGACTTACCTAAGGACACAGGTTTAACCAGAGATAAAAACAAAGATAAGAATCTAGTCTTCCTGATGACCAGCCCTGCGCTCTTTCCAGCAGGTTGGTGGTTTTCTTTTTTTTTTTCCTTTTTGTCTTTTTTACTGACCGGAAACGGGATCGCAACCCTCGGTGTCGCACCCGCACCAGGGACCGGCAACGGTATCGCAACCCTCAGTGTTGCGCCCGCACCGCGCTCAGCCAGTGAGCGGGAACCGGCCTCCACACGGGATCCGAACCCTCGGCGGGAGCGCCGCCACACTCCCAAGTGGCGCACTCTCCAGTGCGCCACTGGGCCGGCCCAGGTTGGTGGTTTTCAAACACTGAACAGCAGTTGTCTTCAGACAACCACTAAAGTAAAGCCCCGTGGTGCAGCTGCTCTGGTTGAAATGGGGTTGAGGAGCAGTGAGTAGAGATTCCTTCCATTCAGTCCCACCAAGAGCTCAGGCTAACCTCGTGGGCTCAAATCCTGCCTTTGCCACTTGCTCACTGTTTGACCTTGTGCAGGTTACTTGACGGAGATGATCCTCAATTTCATCTTCAGTATAGACAATAATAGCACCTAATGACAATGGTTTTGTGAGTATTGAGTCACTCCATTTAAAAGTTCTTTAAAAAACTGCCTGACACATAGTAAGTTTTTAATAGATGGTAGCTATTAATCTTATTATTCTCATGCCCTCCTCCATATACCTTCAGAGATGTGCTGAACAGTTTTATAAATTAAGAATGTTGAAAATCTGAAAAAAGCTGTTGAGTACCAAATATTGTAAGGGTTTCCATCAAGTTTTAGTTACTGCACTGCAGGTGCAGGTCATGAATTATTAACAATTTTATGTAGAGGGTATACTTGCCACATCTAGTGCAAAAGTAAAGGCCAGGGCATGGCTATTGTCCAGCCTGATGTGCAGCTTTCCTTCTTAATCTTGTACTCTTAAAGTAGTGATTGCTTACTCTGATCAGACACTGCTCTCAGACTGTTACTGGATTGTAGATTGCTCTGTGAGTCTGACTGTTCTTTGTAAACATGAAGCCCTCGTCTTCATGCGTAGTGGCTCTCTCTGCAGTGTGCCACTTAACATTAGCAGTGGCATTGTGTAGCATATTATAGATTTCACCTTCGGGGATTTAGTGACTTGGGCATTTCCAAATGCTTTGATGTGAAACAAGATGTAATTGGATATTTTCATATTTTTAAGAGAAATTTAAAAAGTAAACTGTAGTTCTATAGAGAAAACAGGTACAGTTTGTTTCTTTGACAGCTTTAAAAGGTGAAAGGAAGAGTTCTGGTATAGTGCTGCCTGCCATCATATGTAGGTGCTCAGGCCTGTGCTGCTGGTCAGCCCCAGATCTTCATTCACTCTCATGCTCTCCTTCATGGTGTTTGTCCTATTCTGGGTTTCCAAGGGCTTCTTTACTCATCCGAGTGCAGCTAGAAAGCCTGACCTATAATCCAACAAACATACCATGGTACCGTTGCCCTTCTTCCCACTGTATATAATGTAACTCCCACAGGTGATCTGTAAAAACAGGAACCACTTTTGCTTTTACCCTCTCTGCCTCAGCCCAAATCAATGGCAAAAGCCACATTGGTTGGCAGTTGATGGGCATTCCCTGCAAGGATCTTTAGGGAGATGCCTTCACTGTGGCTCTCAGTTGCTTTGAAAACATGACTTAGTGGCTGAGGGGAGAACTTGTTTCTGGGAGGCAACTACCTCCTTCTGCCATTTTTCTATGATAAACATCATGTCCTGAATTTCAGATTCCTGCATACACCTGGAAATCCTAGGTAAAAGTTGCATAATTGCCATGTTCTCAGGAAACCCCACAGTACTCAATAAGAGCTGAACAAGAATGGATTAAATTTACATTACAAAGGTGTTTCTTATTCGATACAGCCCAGTGACATTCGGTAGTATTAGCAATAGGTGTGCTATTTGAGTGATAGACACTGCTTGATAAATGCTAAGAGCAATTTGAAATAGAAGCCAAAAGAAATACATGCATAAATCCATCTTCTTTTTTGCACTTCTGCTCCATTAGAATTGGTAGCTTTATTTAACATTTTGACTTATGGTAAGATTGTACTATTTTTGACAAATTTAAACTTTTAATCTGTCCACCTGCCATTTATCAAAGCATCATTGCACAATTTCAAACATGTTATTTGGACTCAATGGAAAAAATATAAAGGACACCCTAAGACCTAAAATAAATTTCTAGGAAGAATTTTTTTTTCCCCCTAGGAAGAAATCTTGATTAAAATTATTTTAACAGTTGTAATTGGAAAACTTCGTAGCTTGGTTGCAAGCATATTTCTCTTACTGAGTGAACTTTGGCATGCTACTGTACTAGTGGTTCCCAAACTGTACTGCACATTAAAATCACTTGGGGAGTTTAAAAATACGTTGATACCCAGGTTACACTTCATGCCAGTTATATCAGAATGAGGATGGGAGACAGGCATCAGTATTTTTAAAAGATCCTCAGGTGATCCCGATGTGCATCGAAGTTTGGGAACCATTATGCTACACCTTTCTGAGGTAAATAGGAGTGATAATAACACCTATCTCATGTAGTTTTTAAAGTGGATAAAATTAGTTAATGTATATAAAATGCTTAACCCAGTTTTTGGCATATAATGAGTACTCATTAAACGAGTGCTGCTACTGATGATGTTATTGTTGTCAGTGACCAGAATTATAGAAGCTTTTGACAGTTTAATCTAATGCCTCAGTCAGGAGTTGATTGCATGAAGGAATTTTCAGCTCAGCCTGGCCCTTTACCTAAAACCTATCAGTCCATAAGGGTAGCCCCCTTCATTACAACAGGGTCAGATCTCATGTCTATCTTTGGCATTTCTCTTTATCTGTAAGTGATCAATCTACAGAGGTTTATTAACCTGTTTCTCTCCCCGCCCCTCCGTTTCTCAATAGGAAAATTTCTGGAAATGCCATGCTACAGTTGGGCCCCTTCTTGTATTGGACATTTCTGGCTGCCTTTGAAGGGACAGTGTTCTTCTTTGGGACTTATTTTCTTTTCCAGACTACATCCCTAGAAGAAAATGGAAAGGTAAAAGGAACATGTCATTACATATTTTGGTATTGTAAGCATGGCTTATCTCTTTAACATAGGAACTGGATCTGTCATACACATGTGCTAGCTGTAATCATTTGGCAAGCTATTTTTCTTAAGATACAATATTTAGTTCTCACAACTTCTTTAGAGCAATAGAAATGTTGAAGTAAGAAATCACTTCCTATGTGCATGGCTAACTAGAGAGCTTATGTGCAAACCTTCTGGAAGGTTAACTTGGTTGTAATTTTTACTACATGAATGAGAGTTCTGGACCTTCAGACTTTAGACCCCTGCACTTTGATGTGAGAAGGACTTCATCTGAGAAAGACTTTGTCTCTTTTAAAGCAAAGTCTGGCCCTGCTCGGTTCTTATTCATAGTGGCCTTCTATGCTTGGAGTTAAAGTGGGGAGGAGGGGGATAGTTGCTGTATCTTTGGAGTGTTTGCCCAAAAGGTGAAAAGAGGGAATTCTCTTCTCTCCCTTTTCCTCTTCCAAATGGGAGCATGGTTTTCTCCAGAGAGGCTGCACTGGTCCTGCCAGTGCCTTCCCAGCAAGTTACTATATCAGTCAGCAGCTGCATTGGGATGATTTTGCCCTGGAGAGAATTACTGACAGGGAACAAGTGAGGCCTTCATCCTGCAGTCACACAATGGGAAACCCAACACAGTGCCTTGCATGCTGCTTTCACTGTGTGCTCCTTTGCCATTTCTGGGATTCCTCTTTATGGTCATTCATTCTTTATACTCATAATGTGAAGCAAAACGAAGGTTCAAAAAGAATTTACTGAGTACAATGACTATGTCTGGAACACAGACAATTAACACCTGTTATAGAAGTGACAGGCTCAGTGAATTTGAATGATTCTTTGAAATTAGGTACTACAGTCAAGACCTCTCTAATTTGGACTAACAGAAATCAGTTTAGTATGAATCCATGAAAATTACTAATTACAAAATAATTGTTGAGGAAATACAGATCTACTTTAGAGTAGACACATGTAGCATTTGCCGAGGAGAGTGTTCTGCTAAATCCTGTGTGTCCTTGGGAAAGTCACCTCAGCTCTCCAAGTCAACTTTGCCCATCAGTAAGAGTAGATTTGATTTTATGATTCCTTGGGTCCCTTCACCTTTATGACTTATTCCGTGACTTTCAGTTTTTATTTGGCACAAAAATTGTATATAGCTGCCTACTGCTTAAAAAGAATTTGCTCCAAAATGTGCTGATACTCTTCTGCAATCCTGTTGACATGAATCATTTGCTCAGCAGACTTTCCAGGTGGTGCATGAGGAGCATCAGCCCAGCCTCTGTCCAATTCCTTACCTGTTTTGAGTTATTGAAGTCCAAATTAATGAGGTTTTACTGTATATGTCACCATGCTTCTAAATGTTTGCTAAAATTACAGTAAGTGTGAGAACTGCTATCAGCAACTAAACGTAACACCCATGTATGATTTGAATGAATCCTTTTTTTGCTTCTGTTAACCTTAATTTTTTGTTTTTATTCTTTAAAAACCTTTTACATCTCATTTTCTGTTTTAATGTTATGCATTCAGATCTTGACAGCGTTTGGTAAGCATATGTGCCATTCATTGCCATCGTTTGGATTTATACGTGGTATCTCTTTTTTGATGTGCACATGCTGACAGCTCTAGTATTTACAGCCAAAAAATTTGATTCATTTAAAAAATGTGAGTCCATCTGTCTGCAAGTTATTGCTTATTTGAGAGCTTTAGTTTGATATTATAGGAAAATCCCATATCAACCTCTTTAGAAACATGAAACATTTAAAGACTTGGTTTGATGAACATTGCTGTTACTGGAATGGTTTTTTTTTTTTTTTTCCTACCTTTATCACACCAGTGAGTTCCCTTTTCAATGCTGCATGGAATAATGGAAATAAACCCACCAACCACAGGTGTGGTGTACCTGTCCATGAAATTTAGGGTCACAGGAAAATCCAGCTCTGTGGCCTGACCTTATTGACTAGCTATTTCCATAAACAATTCATAAAAGAAAATCTTTGGCATTTACATGCAGGATTAAACTTTTAAACTTGGCTTTTTTTTTTTTTTTTTTTTTTTTTTTAGCAGGTTTGTGTATTCATGGTACATGTAATTGTTAAATGTTTTTCAGGTATATGGAAACTGGACTTTTGGAACCATTGTTTTTACAGTCTTAGTATTCACTGTAACTCTGAAGGTTAGATTCTTATTTATTCAAATATCTAACACTATTTGTGTAATATTTTCTGGTCTTATCCTAATATATCACTTTTGTCTCCTAATTTTTATTTTTGTTATGGGTTGTCATTCAAGCCTTTGTCTAAAGGTTTACTAAAATGTGTAGGATACTAGGGATTTGGACATTCATATACTATTTGGGATCCAGGTGTTTTTCGATATACTCTCTATCATCTCTATTTTGTTTTACTTTAAAATAATTTAAACACTGTACTTACGTTGGAAATCTGTTCCTTTTTGCTGCTATTTTAAGGCATTGTAAGTGGTATATAAACAGGCTGTGTGAGTGTGTGTGTGTGTATGTTTCTATGTTAAGTACTTGAATCTTTTTAAAAATTATACATCTGTTTCAGAACCTAGGCTTAAAAGAAATTTGGGTACTTAAGACAGTTAAATAGATGTCTATGAGCCAAATATTGTATGCAAAAGAACTTGGTAGTAATGAAATTTTATAAAATGTATTCATCACTGAAATTTACCCTTATTAGTGATGAAATGCATGAAGATATACAGCACGTAAAACTTACAAGAAGGGTAATTTTGGCAAAATAATTGGCATTGACATGCAGCCATGTAATAATGATGTGAAGCCTCTCTGAATGTTACCTTTGAGGCCTATGAGTCGGCACTTTTTTATAGTTGAAAGCGTAATCAAAATCTTTTGACCATTTTAGTAATAAACACCTCACGTGGGATCCAAGAATGAGTACCTTTAAATGAATTCCAATATGTCCAATGGTCAGAACCAGAATTCAGAAGTATAATTGTCAAAGGACCTCTCTAATCATTTTTCTTCTAAATTTTTGTTCCTGGTTCATTTCTCATACCAAATAGAGCTAATATATGTTTGCATTATTCATCTACTATTTCAGTAATATTTTAGGACTTTAAAAGAACATGTTACAGTTCATCTCAGTTTAGCCACTTACTACCTGTGTGTCCTTGGGCAAATGAGTTCATTTTTCTCTGCCTCTGTCTCCTCTTCTATAAAATGGAGATAAAAGTAGCACCTATCTCTCTTAGGGTTTTTAAGAAGAGTCAATTAGTGAAATACATATAAAGCACTTAGAATGGTGTCTGGCACATAGAATGTGCTCATTACAACAAATACAAGTTGTTGTTATTTATTATGTTTCTCAGGATCATGATTTGAAATGGAAGCTGCCTCCCCACCTCCCCACCCCACCCCATCCCATCCTACCAGCCTTTTTCCTCCTGGCTTTGCATATGGCCCCAGGGCTTCCAGATGCCCTTCACAGTTAAAGTCAGCCTTACCACAGCGTGTTTCAAGGGTACCTCAAAAGACATCAACTCCTGCCTCTCTAGATGAGTATTAGTGTGACATTTTCCCTAGCAACCTGGAGGGTCAGCATTCAAGACTCAGCTGCACTTTTTTTTTTTTCTTCTGGCAGCTGGCCAGTACAGGGATCCAAACCAGTCACCTTGGTTGTTAATAAGGCTGCGCTCTAAACAACTGAGCTAACTGGCCAGCCTTGGGCTGTGTCAACAATGACAAACTGTAACAGAGTTGAGGACCTTGGTGTCACAGCAAGTAACAAAACTGAGACCCATGATCCATTGCTACATTGTGTTAGCTGTGTAGAGCTGGTTGCCTTTACATTTAGTGACTCCTGTCTGTTGTGTTTGAGCTTTCATGATTCCTTTGTATAGTTTTGTCTACCTTTCTTAGCTATTCCTTTCCTCTCCTACTGCTTTTCAGCATACCTCCCTCTGCCAATTAGGCCTTCTCCTTTTGCCATCATCTCCATGGCTGACGCTACCTGAAGACTTGGGGCTCCAGCCTCCTGTATATCTCCATTACTTGCCCGTCCCCCGTACTGAGGCATCTGCAGCCCCACACCTACCAACTATGTGGCTTGGCCACACTTCTTATGCTTGTGCTCTAGAGTTTATAGACCTTAGGGCAGAGCTTAGCTTTCCCACTCTAGCTCTTTTTAAAGCCTGGATTCTGTTCTTTTTAGTTCCACTCTCCTCTAGATTCCTGGCCCATGCTAGATCTTCCCACAGTTATGATATTGTGTGTAAGTTATCAGATACCATAGTGTATTGCCTGGTGCAATTTGTTCCCGTCATGAAATCTCTCCTGTTGTATCTTTTCAGCTCGCCTTGGATACTCGATTCTGGACATGGATAAATCACTTTGTGATTTGGGGTTCTTTAGCCTTTTATGTATTTTTCTCATTCTTCTGGGGAGGAATTATTTGGTAAGCAGTTGTACCTCTGTAAGCAATATTTAAATTAAAAATAGATATATGTATATGTACATTGTATATGTAAACATTCATTATACCTTTAAAGCTTTGATTATATAAAATGGTAGGTCTTTAATATTAATGGACTGCAGGTTACTTATAGCCGATAATGCTGCTAATTTCAGATAAGATTTCAAATACAAGTGTATAGATTGCATAAGTTACTCAAAAGATCTCCCTTTGGTACCTCTATCCAAATTTTTCAATTTGAAAGTGTGTAAACTTCTCTCTGTGAAGTGAAACTAATTTCTAACATGACCTCCCATGTGATTGCCAGTGGAAATATTCATCCTGTGATGTTTCTACCATAATATATTGGCCTAATAGATACATTATTACCCATTTGGACCCTATTCTCTCTCTTTACAGTATGTAACTATCATTCATGTCATTACATGTGTGCTCAGGGTATAGGATATACAGCCCTTAATACTCATAGGGTTCTGTCTTGAAATCACCATCTCACTGTTTTGAGGTGCTGGAAAGCAGACTCTACAGCTTGACCTTAAAGTTCATTCAGTTATCTTGCTTTCATAGGTATTTATTCAGAATACATTTTGTGATTGGTACTCTATGGGATACAGAGATGAATAGACTGTACTGTGCCTTAAGGAGATGAAGAGACCAGTAAGGGACACATAAGCTGTGATTGGAGGAGCTATCACGAATGAAAATAAGTTAGATTTGTATCTCCTTTTCTTACTCCTCAAAGCCTATATTTTGTTTTTAAATGTCGAATTTGTTTCCATTAATCAATGGCTTCCCCTGCCAGAGATGCCAGCCGCAGAGAATGTGGCTAGAGTAAGCCATGGAATGAGATTCCAGGAGTGCTGGAATTTTCACTGCTATGAGCAAAATCTTATGTACAAGACATTTCGTTTTATCAGAGATGTTTATGTTCTTTAAGATTTAATTTGAAGAAACTCTTACCGTTTTGAAAAGCTTTTTAAATAAAAGCTTTAAGAAATAAAAATATGAAAAATCTAATCACTTAAAGAGGTACCAAGTATAATTATAGCATATATTCGACACCTCTGTAGGTAATGATTGAGAGCAATGAAGCTGAAGGAAGTCTGTTTTCTTTAATGATATACAAATGAATCAATGTTGATTAACCAAATGCAATATACAATTGTATGTCTGCCTGGAGTACCGTAATTCTGTGTATGAATCTGTGTAATCAGCATCTCAACTAATTATGCAAAATTTCCACAAGAATAAAATTTCTAGCAAACTAAATAAGTTTCTAACCCCTTCCACAGACAACTATTTCTTTTTTTTTTTTGTCTTTTTGTCTTTTTTCGTGACTGGCAACGGATCGCAGCCCTCAGTGTCGTCCCCGTACCGGGCCAGGACCGGCAACGGAATCGCAACCCTCGGTGTTGCTCCCGCACCTCGCTCAGCCAGTGAGCGGCCGGTCTGTATGTGAGATCCGAACCCTCGGCGGGAGCGCCACCACACTCCCAAGCGGTGCACTGTAGCAGTGCGCCACCGGGCCGGCCCCCACAGACTATTTCTTATTAAAGTAAATCCCTTAAATGATTAAGACATTGTCACACTTGTTTCTATTCATTAGTGATACTTACTAGAAAGGAAATATTAATCTATTTTTTTATTTCCTGAAGTACTGTCCTTAAGTAGAGCTGTCTGAGATGAGCTACTACATGAATAAACTTGTCATAAAGCAACCAGCAAAATGTGACTAGAAACTGTGTGAAACTTCAGCTGATTTCTTGTCACAGCTAATGTCTGTGAACATGTTCTACCCCGAGGCATTGAGACATAGCCCTCTTTCAGGTTTGGCAGTGAGAATGATTTCTGAACCCCAAACACAATCTAGGAATAATAGCTTTTGTTTTTTACTGTCCTTCTGCAAAGCTCCATAGATGCTATTGAGGTTTAAAAAAAAAATCTAGAGGGCCGGCCCGGTGGCGCACTGGATAAGTGCGCCGCTTGGGAAGCGTGGCAGCGCTCCCCGCCGAGGGTTCGGATCCCACATACAGACCGGTTCCCGCTCACTGGCTGAGCGAGGTGCGGGCGCGACGCCGAGGGTTGCGATCCCGTTGCCGGTCCCCGGTCTGGTACGGGGGCAACACTGAGGGTTGCGATTCGTTGCCGGACACGGAAAAAAGACAAAAGACAAAAAAAAAAAAAAATCTAGAGGTATTAGTCAGAGAGTATTGTGGGTACAGTGTGAAAAAACACCCCATGACTAGCTGTCAGTTGTCTGCTAGACCCTTATTATGGCTCAGTTAACTGCCTAGAAAATTATTCAGGGTCATCTTCAGAATAGATTGGAGTAGACCTCTGCAAAAGTCTTTTCTGTGTAGTAGACTTTTCCTAGAAAGCCTGTTTAGCCCAGGCCTCATGTGTTTCTGCACTTCACTGTTCTGCTCACTTTTATTCCACAGTCTAATCCTCACGTATGCAGAGCCACAAGCTTGATTTTATCATGTTGCATAAGGGGATACAAAAGTTAATTTTTAAATAATAAACCAGTTTATCTATACCAAGTATGATGTATGGTCTAATAAATGGTACTGACTAGTTGTCTCCCTAGAGCTCTTAAGCCTAGGATAGTCTGATGTGCATCCTGGCCTGGAGCAGCCACTTCTTCCTCCTCAGCTCAGAACAACAATAAGTTTGTCTAGTGAGGCTCTGTGTAGTTCATCTCAGACAGGGGAAGGGAAACTACCTGTGCTTCTCAATGGCCACTTAACAGTTCTGTGCCTGACTTGAAATGAAATCTAACTTCAGAATGAAGTGTCTTCCTAGATTTCTGGATTACAGGGCTTAATATCCTATTAGCAATAGTCTGCTCTCTAGCCACCTACTTGATACACACTGCTACTCAATATATATTTGTGGATGCATATGGTAGATTTCTCCTATTTGAGAGAGATAAGCTCTACAGTCCTTTTTTAATCCTTACATAGGAATTTTTGGAGTGGGGAGAGAGTTATTAAAATGTCTTAAGTTTCTGAATGTAGAGCACAAATTCATCCTCATTAATAAAACAGCTGAGAAAAAAATACTTGTTAGGATAAAGATGAACCATCATTTCTCTTGAATATCTTTGAAGCTCTAGTGTTTTCTAATGCACATAAATATTCACAAGTTGGCAGCTAAGAGTTGATTGCCTGATTGTTTGCAAGTCAAATGCACTGTATTATCTTTTTTCTCCTTTATTTTTTTTTCAAACATTTGGTAAATGGAATTTGTTTACTACTTTTGGGACATTCTAGAGAAAATTATTTTTTATTAACACGTGTAAGGAAGATTCCTTTTAAACACAAAAGACAGTTTCTATTAAACTTCTTTTCACATAACAGGAACTGATTTGTTTTTTCTTTATGTGTTTTCTTTCCACTCCAGGCCTTTTCTCAAACAACAGAGAATGTATTTTATATTTGCTCAAATGCTATCTTCTGTATCCATGTGGTTGGCCATAATTCTTCTAATATTTATCAGCCTTTTCCCTGAGATTCTGCGGATAGTATTAAAGAATGTAAGAAGAAGAAGTGCCAGGGTAAGAACTAAGTTTATATTATAGCCTAGTTTTTGGAAGGGGCTTCGATATCTGCCATGAACTAAAAACCTTATTTAGAGAATTCCACTAGTTACAGCATGTTAAACCCCTCCTTACAGGTTCATCATTTAATTTCCTCTTCTGCATAAAAAGTATAATAAAAACTTCGTTATCCAATGCAGGTGGTAAGTAGATCCCTGAATAGTGTTCTGTGTGACCTTTAGCAATCCATATGGAGTATCTCATATGCTCCATATGGAATTTTAAAAAGAAACAAATGATTTTATTTTGTATTTAGCCTAGAATTTTCACACCAGGAATTTCCACACCAACATTTCAGCTTTATCCTTAGAAATTTCCCTGTGGGCTGTTTGCAGATTTTTTTTCTGTTCATAATCCCAATTTGCCTCTTTCAAACCTTTCCCCTTCCTTTAATTATAGTGCTGCTTAATCTCTGTGTTGCTTCTAGCCCTGTCTGTCCAGCAGTATATTTGAACCAAAGATAATTCTCTGGATGTGATTTCTACATCCTTACCCTCCAGAACACACGTGTAAAAATTCAAGATTGTTTTATGAGTGTGTTTTTATTTTTGCTTTTAAATTGTAAATTTCTTGTGGGAATGAGACGTTATTTTCCTATATCACATTGTCTGATATCTTTTGAAAATTTCTAAAAAATCCTTTAAAGTACAAGGGGATCATTAGCCTGGAAAGTGGAACTTCTAGCAGATTTTGAACAACAGGTTAATTAAGTACGTCATATTCCTGCCAACACTAGCTCATTTTGCTAAACAAAACCTGTTTGTACCATATTGACACCAGCTACATCTTGTAGCCCCTCCAAGACAGTATTTTCAGGAAATAGTCTAAGCTGTGACTAACTAGTTTAGCTACAAAATTGGTATGTCATGATTTTTTTTTTTTCCTATTGAGTTGATAGAATCCAGTAGTTGGTATTTTGTAGACATGGGGATCTGAAATGATTACAGTAGGAAAATCTTCAGTGATGAGAAGTGTAAAAGAGGAGCTTTGTGTTTCTCAAGTCAGTGTCAGCCCCAATCAAAAGCAAAGAACAGGGCTGGCCTGTTAGCTCAGTTGGTTAGAGCATGGCCTTGTAACACCAAGTTCAGGGGTTTGGTTCCCCTTACTGGCCAGTTCCCCTCCTCTCCCCCCAGCAAAAAAAAAGCAACAGAACTGTCAGTGGCATAAGCTACATTGATTCTTGGTATACAAGGCCAATCAATCTATAGTTAGGTGGTCAGAATTGCTCTGAACTCCCTGCTTCTGCATGTCTTATGGGCTGGAACTGGACACAATAATGTTAGCATAGCTAAGACTGCCTTAGTCCACTCTTAAATTCATCCAGTAGATCTTCAACTAACTCCCTCCACCCTGGTATTTAGTTTTAGGATGGAAAAGTGGCATTTAATTACCTGATTATACCTTAGTTTCAATTGAATGGGAGTAAAACAGTTTGATGCAATAGGATTCTCCCATAATGACTCAAGTGGCAATTTGCATGAGGTCAAATAAAAAATGTTACAGTAAGAAATGGTTTGGTGCCTTTTTATAGTAGAGAATTTGTCAGGGGAGGATCTTCAAGTTGCTCTTCCAATTGTTCTTATTTGGGAGTACACTTTGGTGTGCTCCTAAATGTTTTTCTTATTAGGGTAATGGAGCTCATGTTAAATAATGGCTCACACCCAGCTTCATGCTCTGAAGATGATATAAAAATGTCAGAAATCAAAACCTTCAAACATATTTTATTTTCTTCCTTAGTCCCTTCTTTAAAAAATTGGACACTGGCTGGAAATGACTTTCATATAGGCCATTAAATGGAGGGATTTAGAACATTTTCTTTTCATGCAAACAGCAGATTCCGAACTTCTGTTCAAAGTATGGAGTTCTGGGACTGCAGCCCTTTTTACTTAGCAGCATAGAATGTTGCCAGGGGTTCAGCATGAAATTTGTCATAGGTTATATCCATGGTAGAAGGAATTCTAGTGTCTGTGCTGTAGCTTGGCGTGCTGATGTGCTGGAACAACCAGGAGAGTTTCCATAATCATTTGCATTCATTCAATCATTTATTCATTTATTCTACCCTCATTCAACCAATAAATATTTGTTGAACCGCCTACTGATGAACATCTCTCTTTACATCCAATGTCTGAAAGGCTCAGTGGTTTTTCAGACTCTGTGGGATTTTGAGAGTTGTAAAAGAGGCAAAACGTTGGGGACACTGAAGCGCACTACCTTTTTTTTTTTTTTCTTTCTTGTGAGAAAATGCAAGAGCAAAGTAGTGCATATGAATGCATAAAGACCGACTGAAATATGGCAGCCACAGCTATTCTGATCAGTCACATCTGTTTAAATAAGTCCCTATTTGGTCATATCAGAGAGGCAGAGGCCAATTTCTAAGGTGAAGGAAAAAGAGTATCTTACTTTCCCCAAAATATATTGGTCTTTATGCTTAGTGACCAACAGTCTGATATCCCAGGTGACTTCCTACTTTCTTCAATATTCCTTGCTACAGCGTTGGCCTCATTTTAAAGCAATGCAAAAGATTTTTTTTACCCTGGGTCTGCCTCATACACTGACAGGCTCTCTAATGCAGTACAGTGTATGTTTCTACCGAGAGTAGAATATCTCCTGACTTCAACCAGTAAACATCTTGGACACTTTATACACACTGTCAGAAATGCCTGTGGTGTGTAGGCTGCTGGTGATATCCTCATGTGGGTCTTGGCAGCTGCTTTGAGAAGGGGACACAGCAGTGTAGTGAATATGTCTCTATGGCATTTGAGAAAGAAGCTAAGCTGTATATATTTAATAATTTTTGAAGCAGCCTTATGTTGAATTCCATTAATTCAGTACACATTGCCTGAGGACCCATTATGACTTAGCTACTATACTAAGTGTTGGTAGTTCGGAGATGAATCAGACATGGCCCCAGCTCACAAAGAGCTCTCACTCAATTAAATTATAAAGGACATTTGTATGGAACACTTCTGTAAGCAGCTGTAAAACAGAACAGTCAAATCAATGATTTGGCTTGTTATAACACAACTTAGCTATTTCAAGGTCTTAATCACTGTCTCCCAAAGCCTCTAGTAAAAAGGCTAGTATGGCAGCCTCCACCACAGCTGAGTTATCATGATGCTAGCAGAATTCTGTCTTTCAAAATACATTCTCTCAGTCATTCAACTCAAGGGTTGTAGTTAAGCGATGTATACTTCAGCTGCATTTTCAGCAATATGGTTGGTTTTTGTGCTAAAGTCCTATTATCAAGGATCATAGGGCTTTTCGTTAGCTCATACAGTGATAACCTGTATAGCCATGCTGCTAATGGTGTATGATGAAACTACCATTGAGGACTGAACAGCAGAACAACAGGATAATACTTCAAAGGAAGTTTAAAGTTTAGGATGTTTGGCATTGCAAAAAGCTGTACCCCCTCTAAGCACAGTTGGTGGACGTGTGTAAATCAATGAAATACACCTGGACCCTCTGGCCAAGTAGTATATACCACTTCACATTTCCAGTGGGGGAATGGAATTGTCCACTTGTCCTTATGTAAAGTTTTCTCATGTAAACCACAATGAAAAGGGAGGCTTGGCTTTGTTTGCTAGACATGGGAAGACTATAATCTAATGGAAATGGATCCAGCAACATGGCCATGCCTACCTAGCATTGGATGTCTGCACAAACAGGAAAGAAATATTCCATTATATATAGGGGGCTCTTTCAGGGTGGAAGGCAGGGAATGAATGGAAGAATGTCAGATGTTTGAGCAAAATACCCAGAGAAAGCACTTTGGAAATTTTGGGGAATACAATTTATCATTGTAGTGGTAATAATGATGATTACAATTGTGATTCTTACAATGTCATATACAACCAATAGTTCTGAGAACCAGATTAGACAAAAGTAAAGTTGAATCCTAATGGCATGGCTGTTGAGATGGGCCTTTATCCATCAGTCTCTTTGACATACTGCTAATTGAGCTGGTTGGTGTCAAAGCTCTTTAGATGACTGCAAAGGAGTGTGGAAATTTCATATTGTTTTAGCTCATTATCTCCTGTCCTCCTCACCCCCCGACTACTGATTGCTAGCTATATCATTTTTTTTACTGCTTTAGATACTCTTTCCATGCTTTCTGTACTTTCATATTTCCTTTTTTTTCCCCCTTCATAAAGTAGTTTTAACACTAATCTGTTAATTCCTAAGATTTCTGCTTCATGGAGAAACATTTATCTCTGACAATTAGATACAAGTTTTTGAGCACACCAAAATGTGCTTACAGTTGCAGGCTTAAATAGATAGGCTGTACATTTAATATGGTATTGGGAGACTTGGTATCATGTAAATCATGATAGGCTTAAATAGATAGGCTGTACATTTAATATGGTATTGGGAGACTTGGTATCATGTAAATCATGATAGGCTTAAATAGATAGGCTGTACATTTAATATGGTATTGGGAGACTTGGTATCATGTAAATCATGATAGGCTTAAATAGATAGGCTGTACATTTAATATGGTATTGGGAGACTTGGTATCATGTAAATCATGTCGTAGGGTTTTTGCCCACAAAGTAGAAGATAGAAGTAATTAAATTTTTTTTCTCAAAAACTAAATGTTTATTTCTCCAGTTTTATCAGTTGGTAGTTTGTATGTTATCAACATGACACCAACTTTCTTCATTGAAGGTAAAATATGAACAGGTAAAAATATAGTCCTGTCACTATTTATTTATATCCAACATATGAATAAATCAAAGTATTTGTCTTTAAAAGTTTGTTTATATTAAACTCTACTGGATATATATATTACTTTAGTTCTCTTTCTCTAAGCCTATTTTCATTAGTCGCTAAGTAGATAATATGGGTAATGTTGTTTAGCAAAGTTGTTCAACTCATCCCCATAGTTGACTACTCATCTTCTGTTTTGCTTGGGCAATGCCAAAACCACGTCTGTAAATTGCCTTATAATTTCATGCACAGAACAAGAAGGGGAAAAAAATAACCTCTTAGGTTTGCTAGTTAAACTTAATCGATTTTGACTTTTTTCTGAGTGTTTTAAAGGAAAACTTGTACCTTACTTAGAAAAAATTTAGACCACCTGTCTAAAGAGGTCTCTGTAGGAAAAACAGGGAAACTAATCAAATTATGTTAGAAGAAAGGAAGTTAAGTACTGGTCTAGAGGCAAATGGTACTGAAGTGTGGTGGCATCAAATGTTTTCCTATTATATTCATTTTGATTGGGTTTTTGACCTGCAACTGCTCAAGGGCGGTGAGTCCCTTCATAATGTACCTGTGCAATTGAATAGGGGAGAAAGTTACTTCAAGATAAATTGATGATGGATCCTGGAATATCTAACTGACCAATGGATTTTGAACAAATGTAGGTTACTGAATTAATGGTTAGAGATAAGCCTTATTTTAATGAAGATATTTTAAAATTATTTTAAGTAGTCCATTTTCCCATTAACAAAATAATTTTAAATTGATATCCAGAGAAATAGTAGTTGGCATATAAAAAATAGACTAACTCTACTTTTACTTCAGGAAGTAATGTCGTCAGAACTAACATGTCATTTCAACTTCGTGTTCTCAAGGTTTCTTTTTAAATGTCTTAACATTTGAGAGAATATTTATTTTTTTTTTTTTTTTTTTTTTGGTTTCTGCATTTCTCTTTTTTCTACTGCAATTTTCCACCTTTTGTGCAATTGTGAACAAGGTAACGAAACGTCTCCCTTCCTCAGGAACATCTACTATCTTCATGCTTTCTCAAACTTCCAGCAATCACAGTTTCTCTTGGAGTGAATAAGGTGATTTCCTTTCTTAATGTTCCAACTTGCTTGCATTCTCACTTGCCTGACACCATTTTCTGATTCTTTATTGGGAAAAATTACTTCCCATGACTCATTTTTATATCTTCTATTGATACTTAAGATTATTTTGTCATTTTCTTTTAATCATTTGTTCACCTTGCAAATGTCACACTGGAGAGGAAGTAATTTTCAAAGGCTTGGACTATAAGTCTGTAAATATTGATCCACGGTATACAGTCGTAGCCATGGTGTGTTAGAGCTAGTCTGTTTACTAGGACAGGAATGTTTTGCACAAATTTCTGTTTGTTTGATACACTCACAGAACTGGCACAACTCTCAGAGGTGTTCACCAAAAGGATGGTAAGGTTTACTAATCAAACCATATTGACTCATCTGACCATATAACCTACCAGTGCCATTTCAAAAACCCAAGTTTGCCACATACTACTAATGTCTATTTACTTCTACCACAAAATCAGTTCAATTCCAGTTGGAAACTTTCTTAGGCCTTTAAATGTGTTCGTTTGAATGTTATGCATTTTCTATATAGTGTAATGATTTGTACTTTGGCCAGAGGAATGGTCTATGGGAAATTATTTTTTCTTTTACATTTTTTATCACCAGGTAGGTTAACCAATCTTCAAATGCTTTAAGTATCTTTGCCTCACTATTACAGAGAAATCTGAGCTGTAGAAGGGCATCTGACTCATTATCCGCCAGACCTTCAGTCAGACCTCTTCTTTTACGAACATTCTCAGATGAATCTAATATGTTGTAACAGGTACCTAGTGTTAAATAAGTGGGCTGGCTTTAAAGAAACAGATTAACAGCATTATAAGGAAAATAATGAAAATATCACTCTCTAAATTTTCTCTGCTGTTGGTGTGGTGAGCTTTATAGTATTCTTTGCAAAAATATAAAGATGCATTACTTGGAGTACAGGGAAATATATATTTTAAATTTGATAAGCCCCCAAATAAAATTTTAGGCATTTTTCAGAGCTGAATGGTAATGCAGTATATTTAATTTGTAAGGGGCAAGTTGTCATGGCAGGGCCATGATGTGAAAATATTCATTAATATTGTTCAAGAAATATAATTTTGACTAAAAGATCATTTGAAAAATTGAAAATAAGTATTCCAAAATTGCATCTGTATAATATCAAATCAGTTTAGCATTGCATGTTCTTTTGGGAATTAATGTGAAAATAATTAAATGTGTTTGTACTTTCATGTGCAGTGTCTGTGTGTTTGCAGGTATACACTTAATGTCCTTGTAAATGTGTGATCCCCAAATATGTGTTAATGAACCAGTCTACTCTAATCATAACTGTTTTTAATGTCAAGTTTTATTCAAGCTAAATGTTTTAATTTTCAGAGGTAAAATCTTTTCTAGCCATTCAGGGGGATGCTTGCCTAATGATATAAAATACTTCATAGGTAATGTTTCAAAAATGAGTATATTCACATTATGACATATTTCATTTACACCACAAAAATATTTCGAAGGAATTGATGATAATACCATGGGAGGAACCCATGAACTCAGAATGACTCCTTTATGTGCACCCTGTATTATTCACTGCAGGGGCCTCTGGCATCCCAGACTTTTAGAGATATTTTATTCATCTGTAGGAATTGAGAGTAATTCATGAACAAGGTTTATAAGCTTGTCAGCTTGGAAACAACTATATATACAGCTTAGGGCAGGGCTATCTTTCATGCACACATAAAAATTAACGATCATGAACAAAATTGTGGGTCAGTTCACTTTGAAGCTAACAATTGTGAGTCCACTTCATAGGCTCATTTTTTCATTAGCTATCAACTCCCCCGCCCTCTGACAAAGAATAAAAATTAAACTAATGCATTGAATCCTTTGGTTCTTGTATCTTCTGCAGTTGATCACAGTCTGCATCTGCAGTGTTATTTTGGAAGCAGACTCATTTTGCTGCAGTCAGCGTCTCTTTACTCATTTTTGAATGACTCACCTGTATATGTTTCCCCTCAATAATGAATCTTCTACACAGTAGCCTTCAAAGTCTTTGACCCGTTTGTTCCAGATTGCTTTGTCCTAAACTGTGTGATGCATTTTAGCTATATTGTTTCCAGTTAATTTTGTATCCCCCTGGATTGCTTTCTTCAGCTTGGTCTGTGGTTTGGGGGACTGGGTTGGGTAGCAGATACTGCTACTGCTTTTGGCCTCTCCAGGGCCTTAACTCCTACAATGTCTAACATAGAACTGAAGAAGTTATTTTTAAAAACAATTGTGATATATTTAATGTAGTTATTTTTTTCAGGAATAGATTTTCATGTGGCATCATTTCTCCTCTATGAAAATATTTGGCAATTAGTTTAGCCACTGAGTTTGTTCCTTGGTTGGTGAGGAAACTATCTGATTCCTTTTATAAGTTCTCAGTGTGAATGAGAACTTTATTTTGGTTAGAGTCTCCACAACCCTGCAGAGCTACCTGAAGAGCTAACAATGGTTCTGGAGAATGTGGAACATAAATAGAAATGGAAGGTATTCTAATGGACTTATAGTCCAAACATGGCAAGGAAGGTATCCCAGAATGGGAAGAAAATAGCACACATTTTTAGGCCTTCCCATTACTCACATTCAAAAACGTTGATTTAAAAAAAAAAAAAAAAAGTTGAATTTTAGAGTGGAGAATCAAAGTTAGGCTCCGTCCCTTGACATAACGACTTCCATTTCTCAACATTACATGAATTATACTTAATGATCAGTTTGTCTGTCATGCTCCATCCTGATCATACCATTTGATGATGTTTAGAGGACAGAGAAGAATCTGTAGATTTGTTAGGGAAATTTCTGTGATCCCTTTTCTAAAAAGGTGATGCATAAGAAAAATGGAAGAGTCAATCAACTCATCAATACATGACTTGCCAAAAGGAAGGAAGAATAAAAGTAAAAGTAAAGGAAGAATATTTTCACAATAATCTTTCAAAACTGAATATATCTTCAGATTTCCTCTGTCAAAATTAACATATTCAAAAAAGTCATCCACTTATTCATTCAACATTTCCTGAACATCTGCTATGTGCCAGACACTGCACTAAAAGATAAATAAAATGTCCCCGTTTTCAAGGAGCTCCCAGCCTAGCAGAAGGGATCATAGTGAGCTAAACCTCTGCTGTGTTAGATAATCAGAGGTAAATAGTATTAGGAGATAGATAATAGAGGTAAAAAGTATTAGGAGAACCCTGGAGCAATCCAAAAGCAAAGCAAGCCTGAATCTATTCAGGTGACAAATGAAGAAAGGATTAAAATGTGGTTATTATGTCACTCTTCTTTTCCCCCTGCATGTGAATAAAACTTGGCACTTTGCTAAGGTGGTTGCTTTACTACTTGATTTATTTTTGAAAATGCTAACCAGTTGGCTTCACATTATTATTAAAATAAACCTTTTAACTCTCTATATTTTAAATTTTGCAGAATCCGAATTTTGAACTGCCTATGTTATTGTCCTACAAGCATACTGACAGTGGTTACAGCTAAAAAAGGAAGCATGAAGAAACAACTACAAAAAGTTATCATCTCAGGATACTCGATATGCAACAAACTAAACCAATCTTTTATGTCTAGGATTCAGGATAAATGTCCATTAAAATACCAAATGACTCTCTTAAGCATTTACAGTTATTATAAGTAGCCGATATGGCCAAAGCACTAAGTTAAGAATTATACGAAAGTTGAAAGCAAGAGTACTTAGAATTCTGGCTTTAGATAGAATTATATAACTACCAAATGGATGCTCTTCTAACCAATGAACTTTGTGAATGGATTTCAATATATTAGTGTAAAGCAGAAGTCATGCAATGGGAATGAATATATTTTGCTAACGTTATTTTCTTTGCCTGGCAGAAGAAATAGGCTGTTTGGATCACATTTCTCATTCCTGCTGAATGATCATCTTAAGTTATTTCTTTTTTTTTTTTTCAAACACATGAAAGGAGTACTTGAAAATACAGGAGGACTAAATGGTATCAATGCATCAGACAGAATAGTTAATCCTTTCTGTTCACCCACATGCTAAATGTGTCTTGGTAGAATATTCTTGCCAAAAAATACCTTGAACACTTACGTGAAAGTATTAATTTCACTGGGATATGAGGTAAGGTGGGTAGAACTATAGTTATACAAAAATAAAGGCCATTCTGAGCATCATCAGCCTTTCATAATTTTATGTGCAGAGGAAGGAAGAATATTTTAAACTGCTAACTGTTTTTATTTGAAAGAGGTTGCATTTGTGCATATGTATAGCACTTTTTTTTTTTTTTTTTAACTTGCCAATTTGGGAAGGGGAGGGATCCATCCCAAGATGGTGGTTCAACCTGTAGAGCCATGACTCTATAAACATGAGTGTTGTAACTTGTAGCTAACTTGTCCAGGGCAGTGGTCTAACTCTAAACCATGAGATTGACCTTGTTAAAAGTCCTTGGCTTGCTGGACTAAAAGGAGGTTTTAGCCTCCTAGTGAGTTCACTTAAAACATAGAAATAAATGTGAAATGTCTTTATTCATGGTTAAACACACTTTTTTGACCACATTTGACTGCTAGTTTGAAATGGTCTTAAAAAATATATATTTTTGTCAGTTTTCATTTTTGTCTCTTTCTGGCATTCCTGTACTATTAATGTTTTTATTGTACCTTGATTTGGATTCATTCTGTACCAATATATTTATATAGTCCATATGGCACATTTGATTCTTCTCTATACATTTTGTGTTAATGTTTAGGTGTAATTTTTCTTAAATTCCAGAAAGGACATAATTTCAGTTATCAGAAACCATTTCATCATTACTGACCCTTTTTCATTATTTCATTTGTTCTCATCTATCAGTATTATTTTGCAGTACTTTGTTAGATGTCATTCACAGCTTACCTAAAGTGTACTGTGTTCTGGCAGCCTGTGTTTGAGGTAATCTACTAAAAACAAAGTCTTTATATTCTTTGCCTATTCCAAAGAGCTAAAACATCTAATCCAGGAAAGCTTTTGATGTGTTGTTAATCTTGTTTTTGTTCTTACGGTTGTTGTTGCTATATTGTTATTGTTGTTTGATGTAAGAACTATAGGGACTGTGAATACAAATAAGAGAGCCACAATTGAGGGCCTTGTTTAATGCAGAACCATTGGAGAGTTGACATAATCAGAATATCCAGGGTAGTAGAAATATAACTGGTTGAATGTAAAATTCCTTGCAGCCAGGAAGAAAGTTAAATGAGGAGTAAGGAAGATTTAGAGTTATGTCTTAGGTACACATTACACTGTACATTGCAGCCCAGATTCAGAATGGCAGCAATGTGTAATATCACAGCCTAGATCTCTGAGAGGGACCTGGCTTTCCTTTTTGAAAGATACTTTAGTAATGAGCTAAAAAATGGCTAGTGTGGGGTTAAACAGATGGAATAACTTGAAATAAGCCGTCCAGTATTCCTAGCACTATGGTCTAACCATCCTATTTGTGACAAAGAGAGGGGGAAAATGTAATGGGATCATATACCCATAATTTGAATAATTTTGGACTATCAAATTTATTTTCACAACTGTTGTCTGTTGTTTGAGGATGTTATCTAGTAAACTGAAAAACCTTCATTCCGTATCTACCACATATACACCAGCAACAGTATAGATATAAGCGTAAATTTACAAAGTTCATAATATAGTGATGGAATTTTTTAATAACATGCAGTATATAAATGTGCAGGTTTTATGCAAATGTTGACAAAATCATTTTTCCGCTTGCAAAATGGGACTGCAATATTACATTTTTCACTTAAGTAATTTTTTACATCTATGTTGTCACCTTCTAAGATGAATGTGAATGCCATCTTTTAGGAATGCAACTTGCCTTTTTCATTACAGAAATTTTTGTTTGATGTAACCAATAAACTTTGGTATGATATGATTGACATTTTAGCCTCTTTTTTGGAAAGGTCTCAGTTTGACATTAAAATAATATAGAAGCAATTTGGTGATGGGAAATAAGTTTCTAATTTCCTCTTTGCCTGTACAATTCACAAAAGGTTGACCATTTCTACATGAGTTGAACTGGCATTTTATGGCAGTACCTAATTTCAGGAGGGTAAGATATTTGTGGGAGTTTTTACTAATACTGTATCTTGTTAATGCTTAGATAGAGATTCAGCCAAATCAACAAATACGTATGAAAAGTCTGCTGTGTGCTTGGCGGGGTGCTTGGTGCTGCCCACACGTTGGAGGTAGCGTGATGTGTGGACTGTGTCTCCAACCCATTAAAATCATTTAAATCTTAAGTAGCTAAAGGTGAAGTTGAAAACTTGGTTCAAAGGTGTGTGTCTCCACACACACACACGCACACACCCCTTACATTGCTCAGCTTGCACGCAAGACCTGTGAAATCCCTTTTCTTGAGAAACCCTGTTGCCCCTTAACTGCTGGGACCAAAGTTGTTCTACTGAAGCTGGTTGCGTTTATTTTTACATTTCAGTCTCTATGCTTGGTAGTCTTTTAATAGTGTTAGTCCTTTACCTATATTTAGTGCATATTTTCTTTTTTTTTTAAGTGGAAAATGTGCTGTAATCAGAGGCAAGACCTGAGTTAAAGTTTCAGCTTTGCAACTTAGAGCTGGTCACCTCTCAATCCTCTCTTCTCATTTGTAAAATTGTGTTGGGGTGGGGACGGGGGATGCAAATGATGTAAAGGATCAAAATTGCATTATAAAGTGTTATTTGCTGTTCGAATGAGGTCGGGCGTGTTCAGGGTGGTATGGCCTTAGACTCATTTGCTATTCAGGTGTAAGCATTGTTATTTTTATATTAAGGGTTTTGGGGTTTTTTTTAATTGCTTTGACTTTTTAATGAACAGTTGTCATTTACCACTTTTTCACAGATGTCTTACATGCTTTCTAGCTTCTTGGAAGCAGTCTGTTCAGGCTTCCTTCCCTTCTCTCTCCCCCATCCAGCCTTGTGGGGATCTCCCTCTTCTGCCTCACTGCTCAGTCTGCCCAGGATTGGCCAATACAGTGAGTGTTGTGAGGGTCTGAGTGGTTTGGTCCCTTCAATAAGAAGCACATGCAATGATTAGGGCTGTTATCACTATGGTTATTCAGCAAATGTGCCCATGGGTGAAGTGCTAGATGCATACTAATTAAGCCTGAAGGCCTGAATTCTGGGAATAGTTGTGGGGGGGGGGGGGCTTAATTATTCTGCAACTTTTTTTTTATTAGTTCAACATATTTTTCCCAGCAACTGTTGGGCAAGGAAACATGGGTTCAGTTCCTAGTGTATGGACATATTATGCTTAAGAAATGCTGTATGCATCAAGCAAGTCCTCATCTCATAGTCTTCGGAGCAAGAGCAAGCCTGTGGCTGCACAGTGCATCTCACGATGGGCCAGAATTTCTGCTGGCAGCAGGTCTTTGGCCCTGACTCTTCGGGCAGGGATGAGTAAAGGATGTACATAGCTAAAATACCTGCTGCTGCTTTGGTCTCTTCATCAATTGCCAAGCACATGCTTCCTGTCAGTAAAGCCACTAAAAACCCAACTCATAGTTGTTAACACACAGCCCTTACTATGTGCCAGAACTGTTGTAATCACTTCACAAATATTTACTCCCTTAATCATCCCAACCCTAGGTGATAGGTACTGACATTTCTCCATCTGACAGATGAAGAAATTTAGTCATAAAAAAAGCAAGGTCACAGTTTGGTAGAGCCAGATTTTGAACAAAGGTATTCTGTGCACTTAACTAGGACACTATATTTTCATCATTATACCACCCCTGATGGCATGAACAAACCATCAAAATATTAGTATTAACCATGAAGAAAATGTCAGACAAACCGAAATTGAAGGATATTCTGCACAATAACTGGCTTGTAATCTTCCACATTATCAAGATCATAAAACACCAAGAATGAGGAACTGTCCAAATAAGGAAAACCAAGATGATGTGACAACTAAGTGAGGCATGTGATCTTCAATTGGATCCTGGACCAGGAATTGAACATGAGTGGGATAATTAGTGGTTTGATTAGAGTATGTATGTTAAATAACATTATATAGGTATATTAATCTTAATTTTCTGATATTTGAAATTTTGCTGTGATTATATATGATAAATCTAGGGGAATCTTAGTGGAGGGTATATGGGAATTCTTCGTACTGTTTTTGCAACTTAAGGCTGAAATTATCTCAATTATAAGTTAAAAATAGTTAATGAAGCATAAAATATTAATGGGAATGAGCATTAAACAATGCAGAAGACTAAATTATAATAGCTAACATCTACATAGTACTTTATCGAATGTTTTTATATACCCCATTTAATCTTTACAACAGCCCTATATAGAGATTATTAAACTCCAGATTTTTACAAGTAAAGAAACAGGCTCCGATAAGTTAGTTATCTTGTCCCTGATCCCTCAGGACTGAACTTGGTTATGACTCGTGTTTCCCGCTGTACCACAGCTTGCAGTTTGTCTAGGACTTCTAAAGCATTTCCTGTTGGATTCTGGAAAGATTAAAAAGCAAACCTCACTGAAGTCATTTTTGTGTTGGGCTCCTCAGGATGCAGTCAGTCCTACCCCAAATCAAACCATAGACAGGAGTCATGCCATTGCTCTTAGGGTTGAAGCGAGTGGCCTCAGAATGTCTCAGCCCAGGTTTTCCCTGTCATCTAACCTGATGGTGCTGAACCGGGCTTAAGCACCAGTATTTATTCGGGTGTCTCTCAAGGCAAGTTTTAGCATCCTACCCCTGCTTCCCACCCTTTGAGCGAGAATACAAGCATGCTTTAAATTATTAAATGAAGTACCAGGTTAGCTACCTACCTCCGATATCTAAGATATGTCAGTCACTTAAAGAACATGGGGATATTGCTGGCACACTCTATCTCAAGTGATTCTATCCCACTCCTTTCAAAAGTTTGATCATTAATTCAGCATTTCCCAGACTGGGTTGTATGAAAGAAATGTTAAGAGTCCTGGGAAGTGTTAACTAAATATTCCTTGAAAAAGTAGGTTCACTGGTTAAATACACTTGAGAAGTTCTGTGTATGATAGTTTGAGAAGTTAGAATGCAGACTAGAACATTAAAGTCCATGAGAGACCTAATATTAAAGAAACCCATTTGAGTTCATTTAACCCAGTATGTTCCAAACACTGGACCAAAGAATCTTATTTGCCCAGACCATCTAATAACAAATCACTGGAAACAAGTTTTCCATGGAACACACTTTGAGAAATAATGCAATAGGTAGGTTCTCTAAACTAGTAATTGTCTGAATCTCACACCTTCCTCCCCACTCTCACTTGAGGGGATTTGTTTTCATGATCTGAGAAAGATGGAAATAAAGATAGTTATCATGCCAAAAGCATCAGTTAAGGTCCAATCTGGAAAACAGACTATCCCATATATTTTAAATGGGGGAGGGGGACTTAATACAGCTAATTGCTTACACAGGTGATGCAGCTGAAAAGCTAAATTGGGGCTCTGCATAGCAGCCCAGAGATTAGAAAGGGGAGGAGGGCAGAACCACCCCTAGGCTGGGGGAACAAAGAGAGGAGGAGGAGATCCTGCAACCTATGGCCTGCTCACGTGGCAGAAGTGGGAATCCCAGTGAGCCTATCTGGAGCAGCTAGGGCTACAGCAGGGTCTCAGCCAGTGTTGAAGATGCAGCCCGAGGTAGAAATACCCTGGCTCCTCCTACCTCCAAGCCTCCTGTCCCTCCCATTGGCTGGACCCAGCTGGAAGCCGCTAACATGGGGGGCCTGGGAAACAGTACAGAGCAGAGTGGGGAAGCATGAGGAATGCATCTGAGGAGAAACAGGCCCAGGACTGGCACATCAAGGATTTAAGGGGTCAGATTCAGATTTACTATTATAATTGAGTATACAGGCACAAAGGTGAAACTTTAGGGAGCTAGATTTCAGCTTCTTTGTAATTATCCTTTATATTTCCCGTACGAAGAAAATAAATGTGGAGAAACGAATCTGAAGTCACTCCTGTAATATATTTAGTGTCTCACAGATGATAACATTTTTATGGATGCATAGATTAATGGAAGTAGAAGGTCCTTGCATAATACATCCTTCTTAATTAGTAATAATAAAGACACAGCATTAAAAAGAAAACGAGTTAAATGGAGTTAGCATATCTAGATGCATGGAATTTATCTACATCATATTCAAAATTCAAGAATAATTCACCAGGGTCTGGATAAAAAGCCACAATATTAATTGCAAAGGGAATACTCTTCCCTCTCTCCATGTTTCTACCTCCTCCACTTATAATATAGGAACGCCCACCCATGAAGCCTGTGGAAGAAGGTTTCTGCTCCTCTCTCCACCCCGTCAAGTAGCTGACTGATGGGGCTGGAGGAGGGGTTATCCCACGTGTGTGGTTCAGCCCCGCTGTGGCCCTTCCTGTAGAGCCGTCAGCCTGCAGGCTGCTCCGGTTCTTTTCTCCACCCCCGCCTCCGTAAGCTAATTGGGGGCAGGGAACCAGATTGGCGGAGTGGAGGATGTGGCGCCAGTTATCCAGCCACTCAGTCTGTGACAAAATGAATACATTCAATTCAGGGGGGAATGAATAGGAAGGTCATTTTGATCTCAGACTCCGCAAAGTTTTAAAGTGCATCTTTGTAAATAATAGATTGCTATTTTGTCTGCTTTAAACGCTGCTGCTGTATTCTTGGTGCCTAGAGCAGTGTTAGGAACACAGATGGTGTTTAAGAAATATTTGTTGAATAAAGGAATACATTTTATGTCTGATGTCTGGGCCAATTTGTCAACTGGCTTTGAACTCAGAGGAGGAAAGGATATGACGATATATGGGGTATTTTCCGCTTTACCCTCTTCATATTCAAACAGCCAGCCCCATGCTCATTACCTTAGGAGAAGTATATAGCACCAGGAAAGCGTCTGATTGC